CCTTCCCCCCCCTTGGGCTCCATCTGCCTGCGCCCGACTCTGTCATGTGCGCATGCGAGGGTGTTGCGTTCGCACTTGGACTGCCAGATGCAGGCACAAAGGCGCCGAGATGATCATGTCTTGAAGTCACTAGTCGCTGGTATATATGCCTGCCACTTCTTTCACTCTTGACCGCTCCTCGTTTGTTGAGCAACCTTTAATTCCGTCCAAAATATCGCATTTGGCTCGCCCTCCATGGCGGCCAACTTCGTCTCTCGCTTTACCGGCTCCAACAATGCTTCGGCCTCCATCTACGAGACCCTCAGACAGCACGACGAAGATTCAGATGCTTCTGACGTCGAGGAGAGAGCTGGCCTCGTCTCACAACCTCCACCTTTCCGACGAGCCTACCACGACCTCGACCCAAATGATCGGACCTCCAACCCAAGTCGAGTAGCTTCTCGTCAGGCTGACATCCACGCCCCCCTTCACGGTCAAGGTCAGATCCCTCGAAAGGACAAGGGCAGGAGTATGAATAAGTCAAAGTGGAACCACAAACCTCACAAGCTGCTTGATGTGGAAGAGGCGGATGACGATGTACCAGCATCTTTGCTGATCGACCACAATGCTGACCATGGCTCGATATCGTTACCTCCTCCCCCAAGTGAGATGCCGGACGGCCTGAGCCCTCATCGAGAACCAGTGCCTTCCATACCTGGTCAAAACTTCCATTCACGAAACCGTCCACGGCCTCGTCGGAATGCTCCAAATCCTGCACGAACTGACCAGGTCCTTTGGGGAAACCTGGCCAGCGCAGATCCCAAGGAGAAAGCCATGTTTCGATGGGCTAATGTCACCGATCTGGACAATTTCCTGCTTGAAGTCTACACCTACTACCTGTGCCATGGCTTCTGGTCCATCTTACTTGTGCGACTCTTCAACCTCATCACCGTCGCTTTCGTGGTTGGCTTCTCTCTGTTCCTCACCCAGTGCATCGACTATCGACAAATTAGGGGCAGCACAAAGATGTCAGAAATTCTCGTCTCTCGATGTGTCAGGAGGATGGGATTCATTCCAAATGCTCTGCTCTGGCTTACCACCTTCATTTGGCTGTGGAGGTCTGCAGTGTACATCTTCGATATTCCTCGTTTGAGGCAGATGCACGACTTCTACCACTACCTTCTCGGAATTCCAGAAGAAGAGATCCAGTCCATATCGTGGCAAGAGATCGTCAGTCGCTTGATGGCGTTGCGGGATTCAAACCCAACCATCACCTCACGATCCAAGAAGTCTGGTGCATATATCAGGTCGCAGAATAAACAGCGGATGGACGCACATGACATTGCCAATCGACTCATGCGAAGACAGAATTACATGATCGCCATGATCAACAAGGACATCCTCGATTTCACTTTGCCAATTCCCTTTTTTCGCAACCGAAAGCTCTTTACGCGGACGCTGGAATGGAACATTGAACTGTGCATCATGGATTTTGTATTCGACCGCAAGGGACAAGTCCGGACTCTCTTCTTGAAAGATACCTATCGAAAGGATTTGTCCGAGGCGCTTCGAAAACGCTTCATCTACGCTGGCATTGCGAGTCTTATCTTTGCTCCTTTCCTGGCCGGTTATTTTGTATTCAAGCACTTCTTCCAGAATTTTAATGAATATCAGAAGAACCCGGCACAGATTGGCTCAAGGGAATACAGTCGATTTGCTGAGTGGAAATTCCGAGAATTCAATGAACTCTTTCACCTGTTCCAGCGACGGATCAACATGTCCTACCCGTTTGCCACCAGATATATCAATCAATTTCCAAAGGACAAGACCATTCAAATCGCAAAATTTGTCAGCTTGGTCTCTGGAGCGGTGGTATCTGTTCTCGGTCTCGCGACAATTCTAGATCAAGAGAATTTTCTGAATTTCGAAGTGACTCCTGGCCGAACCACGATATTTTACATTGGAATTTTTGGGTCAATTTGGGCCGTGGCGCGTGGTTTGCTCCCCGATGACAACATGGTGTATGATACGGCATACTCAATTCAAGAGGTGATACAATTCACCCACTACGAACCACAACACTGGGAAGGTCGGCTTCATACCATCGATGTCAGAAATGAATTCTCTCAACTCTATCAGATGAAGCTGATCATCTTCATCGAAGAGGTGTTGAGTATGATCTTCACCCCTTTCGTGTTGTGGTTCAGTCTCCCTAAATGCAGTGATCGAATCATTGATTTCTTCCGTGAGTTCACAGTCCACGTGGACGGTATAGGATACGTCTGTTCCTTCGCAGAATTTGGATTCATGAAAGATGCCATCAGACCGCTACCGGCTCAGACCACCCCTAGACCTGGCGCAGGGACAGGCACTGGAGCAGAAGCAGGAAACCCGACGGGTGCCTCGAACTTACGAGATGAGTATTTTGCGTCCAAAGACAATAAGCTCGAACAAAGCTACTGGGGTTTCATGAATGACTACGCACGCAATCCCAAGACAGACATTCGGTTTCCGTACAATAGCTCCAGACGACGCTTCAATTTCAATATGCCTCCGCCAGTGCCTGGCTTACCTTCCCCGACATTCCCGACCTCAGATTATGGCAATACGTTCGTCGGTGGTATGCACCAGCATCGTCAGAACAGCGGCATTGGCTTATTTGCATCGCCTCACCGCGGTGCTGTAGGAACACCCCGATTCACCGCTCAGCCTCACGGTCAGGATCAAGCTCAGCTCCAAGCTCAGCCTCTAGGCTCACCGCTCCAATCGCTCTTGCTCGATCCACATCACCAGCCTTCAGCTGGCGGGTTTGCATCGCCGCAGGCTCACCGACCGCGGGGTTCACTTCTTCCCAAACCGTTCCGAGATCGTGAGATTCCCGACGATGTGGCAGAGGAAGAATCACCTGAACTTCCGCCCCAGCAACGCGCTCAGGTAGACGGGTCTCACCCGCGAGCTGAACCTCTTGTGGGTGAGCTCGGGTCGTGGAATTACGAAGTCGAATCCTCATCCGGCGAGGCAAGTGAAAATGAAAAGCTCGAGAACGATGTCCACGCTGTCGCGGCGTTGGGGACTCTGGGACCCCTCGGATTGATCAAACAGTTCCAAAAAGCACAGGCCCAAGAAGGTGGAAGGACCAGAGCGGGTGGAGCGGGGATTTGATGTCAATGTATAGGTCAAAGAAATGGTTGGTGATTGATCGAGGCATTGACAGGCGGAGAAGACAAAGATGACGCGAGGTGAGGTGGGGGTGATGCGACGTCGGGGTTTGTGATATACACTCGGCGGAGGCGGAACGCAGAGAGATTCTTCCCTTTCTGCTGTTCCTGATTCTTGTTAAAAAAAAAAAAATCCCTCATGGCACTGTCATTGTCCGCTTCATCGGACTCGATCTGGCTTGCATAGGAAGTGGATTGCATAGCATTGCATGGGATAGGGCTTCATGCAAGCATCTTGGATTCAGACTGAATCGCATAGTCAGGGCTAGGTTGAGGTTCAGACTCTGAATAAGGCACAAACAAGGCAAAAGGCATCTATAGATGTCGTATCGGCCACAGCAAAGGCCAAAAAAAACGGGCCTGCTCAGGCGCAAAGAAATCATCGAAAGTTCCAAACCAAGCAAGATCGATCTTGAGTGTTTCTCTAACGGCTAGACAGAGCCGTTTCCCCCCCTTTTATATGCCCAAAATGTGAGAACATGTCTATGCTGTTAGTAGTATCTGGCGCTTAATTTGCTCTGCCTGGTCTGGGTTGGGGACTGAAGTCCTTGATTTTGATCTCGATCATTTGTCACCTATCATCGAGTTCTCTTTCTGGTAGGTGTGGTTTGATATCCTGGGTTTTAGCTCAGCGGGTCAAATCAGTGGATGTGTCTGCGGATAAGCAAGTACAGAAGTCAGTTAAGCGAGTAAACAGGCCGATCAAATAGGGTGACTTCGATGTGTGCTTACTCCTATGGAGAGGCATTTGAGATGGAAAGCATGAACTGAGTGAGGAAGAGATAGGACAAATCTTTGGTTTGGTTAGTCGTGCTCTCTAGTAATCGGGGGCCGAAGGGGTTGATATCCGTAGATATGCCGTGTTGTGTTTGTTCCACGGGTAAATATGAATGTGACTGTTAATGTGAGCTGAAGATTAGCCACTGACGGATGTACTAACATGGCAGACTCGACGAAGTATTACCTTTGATAAGCAATGTGCTGTTGTGCTGTATCACATCCACAAGCCAAGGCCTGAGGGAGAGATGTCCCGTCTGGCATGACAAGAGAATGTGACTTTTGTCGACGTAAGTCAGCAATATCCTTCAAACTCCACATTCTGCTGATTTTGATGAGCTAGAACTCAAGGTTTGGGGACTGCGGGTATTGAACAAATTACACCAGGGCCCAAATTGTATGTTTTCAGTTGATTCGAAGGGATAATTAAGAACGTTCAGATCAGACTGCGGTGCGTGCTATCCCATGAGAGGCCCCGTTTCGAGGCACTCCGAGGAAGCAGCATCCAGACTCTTGGAAGTGGTCTTACAGCAATCAAGCTGTTCCAAGATTCTTATCTCAGCAGTTCAACAGGGCTGGAAACAATATCTGTGATGCTTGCATACCTATCTTACACTCACGAACAGGTGGAGAAGGGGTCAATAACTGCAGTGCACCACGTCGAAGTGCCTGCAGTGGCTGCCATACGGCGACTTTGCCTGACGACTTTTCATTTGTATTCTGGAAGATCATGTCCGTCGACGTTGCTCTGGTCGATGTCCTATTCGTACGCACATGCAAATGATGACGCGACCTCCGGATACGTCCTTCCATGAGTGGAAAACCATGAGCCAGCGAATGATTGACCTGCGCTTATGGAGAGGCCAAGATAGGGGAGGCAGATATGAGCCTGGTGAAAGGATGAGGAAAATTGGAGGTCTTTCACATATTGAGAGATTCAACATCGACATCAGCACGTGGAAGGATAGTGCAGCAATTTGCGACAATGAAAATGAGTGAGACGGGCGAAATACTGATTTGGGGGCTGGAATGATTGCGAAGAGGGAAAATGGATCATACGCACCATAGTATTATGGTCCAACTTAAACCCAACCTGGATGGGTTGGTCAGCTGGGTCTGCATCAACACAAAGTTGAAATCCACTTTGGATTCTTCTGAAAGGGTGCCTTGAATAGTAGCTTGCTGATTCAACACCTAATGTAGTAGCATTAGCGTTGAAGGATCTTGAAGCAGCATTGTAAGCTGGACCTTGGAGTCTGATCGGGCCATTGAGCCGGTCGAAAGTATGAGTTCTGCATATTCAATGATAGGGTGGAAATGTGGCCAGCTGGATGGTTGCAGACTAATTGTAACCGAGCTGGAACGTCTGGGCTTGTACGAGGACACGAAAAACCCTGTTCTGGCCTTGTTCGACTTTCTTGGACAGAAGCAGCCTTTTGTATCCTGCCCGTACCACGAGTCACAAATGCTCGTAAAGAAGGCATTGTCTTCGCTTTCGGTAAGACGGTAGCTTTGCTTAATCCAAGCAGATCTAACCGATTTTTGATGATTTGAACAAAATGGTAATCGTGCATAGCCGTGTGAGGGCAGCGCGTCACGGGAACGGCAGAACAGGGTGAAAAGAAAAATGCCATCTGGTGAGTTGTACAAGAGGTTCTTCATTCGCGTGAAACGACTTGGCAGCTGGAATGGATGTATGAATGATTCGAAGTCTGGGACTTCCCGATCCGTGATGCCGTTAAGTCCCTGAGTCTGTGAAACTGTATAGTTGGCAAAAAGCGTGGAAAGTGACACCGCCTGGCGCACTGACCGCCCACCGTATACGGCAATGTAAGCTGTGACAAGTTGTACGGAGTACTTATGGGCGGGTATTCTTGGGATGAGGTGCTTTAAATAGCTAAAGCCGGGGTCGGTTATCAGGTAAGCAATTTAGCCTGCCAGAGAACAGGGGGGCTAGGGAATCCTCTGCTCCACTGTGATGGAGATACAAGCATCGAACGTGCGGCTGAGGGTACGGTGCAGCGGTGACGCTCTGGGTCGGTGAGAAACTAGAGGGGCGCAAGCAGACTGTAGACGAGTCAGAAAGTGTTGAATCGGTAGTTGGTGCTGATCTCGAGGTCGAAAACCCTTTTGGATTCTGACCATGGCCAATGTTCGAAATTGATCCTGTCAGTCAAAAAACACTGTTGGGGTCGTCAGGGCGTGAGTACGGAGGTGCAGTACCGCCCAATGGAAGCTTCCATGCAGAAGACTAGATTGCGCACGGAATTTGTCCTCGCTTGCTTTCGTGGTACGTTGGAAGTTCTCTCGAGTCTCAAGTTGCCACGCGGGCTCAATACCCAGTGGGCGTGGTTGTGGCCGAGACTAGGGTCCCGTACCGCATAGTGCGCCAACTGCTGCGTTTTGTATCCACGGTCTATCTCTTGAGATCTTTTTTTATGGCACAAGTCTGGATTAGGAAACAAGTCGAGAGTCCTTTTGGGTAAAGACCAGGGGGTTGACGAAAGCGTGGGCGTGTGGGGGCGGCATGGTAGCGGTTGTGAACGCCACTGTTTGTGATGATGGCGTAGGATTCGCATATTTCCGAGATTGCAGTCCTGATGTCTTTGAGAGCTTCAAAGGCACAGGAATTACGAGGCCAGGCGATGGAAAGTGGAAGTGCGGGACCAAGTGCCATGGCTCGCATGCGACGGGGGCTCATGCAGCGGATGGTTTGACAAGCTAATGGTCAAAGATGAGCAGATGGCGACGAGGGTATGACAAGACAGAGAGGAGCGCAGAGTATGCTCCAGCAACAGTACTAAGCCTGGAAAGTCGATTCTATCCCTGATTACTGTTCTCTGGCGTGCACAAGGCTGAATGAGAGGATGTTTCAAAAAAAGATAAATCATTGACAGCAACTGACTTTATCAGTCGTGGATTTCCTCAACCTCCTTTTTCAGGCTTAGGGTTGCTGTACAAAGCGTCTCCTCAGATTTTGCGCTGGGCCCCCCTGGCAATCTCGAATTTGACTTTGTGGCAGACACACGGCCCGATTCGGCTAAAGGGGCATTTTTAGTGTTGAACTAATCCTCAGCCTAGTTTCTCGTTTTGGGTTTCCCTCCCTCAACGTGAAGTATCAGATAGATCTGGATATTTCACACTGGACGCAATTCGCCTGGATATTGCTGTGGCGCTGTGGCGATATAGGGATGACGAAGATTAACATATTATTGATCATGACGATGAGTAGGTAGTATATGGTAAAACATATTCGTACGAGGCATGGGGCCACTGAACATACTATGGTATTTTGATCGGGTTCGAGGACGCCCCTACACTGTGGCACTAATCGCTGAGCACCAGACTTCTCTTCTTCTCGGCATAGCAGCAGGATATCGTAAGCCGTAGAGGAGAACTACAGCCTGGAGCAGCAAAAGTAGCAGGAACTTAGCCCGCAGCCAAGAATTGAGTCTGACAGAAGCGCGGTCAACCTACGATGATAACTAATACGACAATACCTGGGCCGGCATTTTTACAGATTTCCATCTCCCTGGACCCAGACCCTGCATCCTCTTATCCTCGTCTCCAACTTGTCCTCATTCGGACTCTGGGCACTGAATGAAAGGCTGAACTCGAACTGCATCTCTCTCCTTGAGCTTCTCTCGCCCCCTGGTCCCGCCTCCAGGGCCTCCTTGTCCTGATCTCCAGCTCCAGCACCCACTGTCCGACCAATCCGCTGCCCGCCACCTCGCCCTCTCTCCACCCACGCTGTCAGGTCCCAAAGAGAATTCTCGTATCCCACGCGGGAAAAAAAAAAAAAGGACTTCGTTCACACTATCCCCTGCTCATCGACGTCCAAACGAAACTAGACTAGAGCAGACTAAACTATCTAGTGAACGAGAATTGGACTAACTATGGGGACTAAACCGGGTCCATCCATCGCTCTGCTCGTTCAAGCACAGATGCAGAACGATATACTACATAGTACGGCAAATCCCCCTCCTCTTACCCGTAAATTCTCATCTATCAACATCTATGAGCCACACCTGTCATGCAAACACAACATTGCTCTGTGCGACTGACCTTGAACGCCTGTCAATTTTATCACCCCGACCTGCTCCTCTGCTAATCTCAACCCATTGCCTTTCCATTGCACAATTCCACCGTATATTATTACCACATCTCCTCCCTGAGGTTGTTGGGCCCATACGGTGATCGGCTCTGGGATACACGTTTCCCTCTCAGAAGTCCACGATGACTGCTCAATCTGGGTATGTATATCATGATTGCATTCCCTGGCCGAAACATCCTCACTGACAGGCGCAAGGTCGACGACAACCACCGCTACAATAACGACCGCCTCATCATCCTCTCCTGCAATGTTACCCACTCCCCCTTCTAAATCAGATGCAAAACCCATCAAATTAAGAGCAGCCTGTAACCACTGTTTCTCAGCCAAGGTATGGTCCCTTGCTCCTCTCTCATTTAGAAAACTGACTTTGAAACAGGTACGATGTGACGGGAACAAGCAAGGTTGCCGCAGATGCTCCGAGAAGAAGCTATCTTGCGTCTACAGCGAATCTCGAGTGGGCAAGGTAGTGGGGAAGCGCAGAAAGCGACCGATTGATGACTCGATCGGTAACATCAATTCCCAAAATTGGATCGTCAACGGAACTGTCCCCCTTCAGTCAATCCCTTCGCCGGCCACCACTCACGGTTCCGACGAATCGACCAAGAGACACGGCAACACACCCAGTTGGACTTCATTCATTGCCGCTCCTGATCAAGGGTTTCTCCCGTTTGACGACACGGCCGACTCTTTGAATGCCATTGACACGGCCGATAACCGAAGTTTCTCAGTGACCAGCGATCTCGCCCTCTTCAACAACAGTGGTCTGCCCACCCCCGCCCTTAGTCCACCACAATTTACCCGATATCTATCCCCGGCCCAACTAGAGACTCGACCGACGTCAAGTCAGGCATCAGGTCGCATCGACCCGTCCCGGTTACATCCCCCAACCTCCCAGGTACCCCGTACCAGGCAGGTGGATGCGACACCGGAAGACGAAGAGACGGTTTGCCTCAAACTGTTAGCCCATCTGAAAAAGCACGCGGCAGATGAATTACAGCCACGAGAAGCACAACTCGAGCTGTTGAAGAAATGTAACGCCGCCGTGCGGAGAGTCTTGTGCAGCAAAACCATTCGAAGTGACTACGCCTGTCATTTGCTTCTCTCCAATATCATCCATCACCTGGTACGGCTGTGTGAGCGGCTTTGCCAGGGGAAACAGGACGAACCCAGGAACATAGATTCGCAATTTCTTCAGGACCAGGTTCATTTTGAAGCTGTGCCTGGATTCTTCGACACCGCAGCCCCGCAGCCCCTCTCCCAAACGGAGCAAGAATCAATACTGAGCCTGATCGAGGAAGTCATGGCGTCTGCCTCGGTGGTGGGGGATATGCTCAAAAGAAAGCCTCTGCAGGGGTTTCAAAATCTCGGACGACACGAAACATTCCACCTCGAACTTGAGCAGAGATTGAAGAAGGCAAGGGTCTCGCTGCAGTCATGGAATTTTAATGCTTGTAATGGAAGACGGTCGAGTATATGCTGCACAGTGGAATAGGGATTACACGTGTACCGGGTTAGATGTACGAGGACGAGAAAACGTCGGAAAGGGACTGGGATGGGTCACTGGGAGCGCCCGAAGGTTTAAAAAGGCTATTGTATCAGCTGTATTACCAGGAGGAAAAATGTGATTTCTGCAACAGACGCATCAAATAACATGGTCAAATCGTCCTTCTATTGCTCTTCCGCATTCAACGAGGCTCTCTCTCTTCCCCCACCCCGGGGCCCCACCAGCCAAGGCAAGCATTCTTGGATGCCCATTGGGCGGTCTTAAACCACTGCTGCCCTCTTCGAACCGTCATAGTCTCAGCTCTGAATTCCAGTTTGCGGGTTCCGGTTCAATTGAGTTCGGTGGTCAACATGTCATCGACTTGTTAGTTACTTGAACCACCCGACAAGAACATCCCCCGGCCGCGAGATTCTCGACCTCCTCAACCTTGACACTCTGCCTTCAAACCGCCTGTCACTGCAATCCGACAATGATTCGTATTCGCCGCTACCGATTGTTCCTCCTGGTGGCTGTTCTCGCAATTGTCTCTGTCTTTCACCTATACCGAGTCAATGGCTGGAATGAATCAGCCCTAGAAAGCTTCCTTGGATTGAAACCCGATGCAGACGGGACGAGTCTTCCCGATTTCAATCCCCTACCGAAGCCAGTTCACGTACCAGAGCAGCCTGCAGGGCCTGCCGTATACCCTCCACCTCTTCCCCCTCTACAAGCCGAATCCCAACGTGGAGCAGCCTCACGTGCTCCCGACACAACCGCGACTCAGTCTACCACTTCGCTAGACTCAAGTCCCACAGTGACAGGAGAAGAGTTTCTGGCCAAACAACCCAGTTTTGACCAAGAGTTTGGCGAATACGGTGAAGGTCGATACGAGGTCAAACCAAGACCGCCTGATGAACCGAGAGCATACTGGAGGCCACCACCCGAACACTTCCCTGTACCCTCGCATAGTTTGATATCAGTACCAACGGGTGAGCCAAGGAGTCTACCCAAGGTCCAGTACAATTTCGGCCGGGAATCATCTTCCAAAAAAGCTGATCGAGTACGGAAACAAACGGCAATTCGGGAGGCGTTCAAGCACGCCTGGTCGGGATATAAAAACCACTCACTCCCACACGATGAACTCAAGCCGATATCGAAAGAAGTTGGCGACCCATTCAACGGCTGGGGAGCAACTTTGGTTGACTCTTTGGATACGCTTTGGATAATGGGACTGCGTGACGAATTCGAGGAAGCTGTTGGCGCGGTGGGCAAGATTGATTTCAAGACTTCTGCCAGAAAAGATATCCCTCTGTTTGAAACTACCATTCGGTACCTCGGCGGACTCATTGCGGCCTACGACCTCAGCTCCGGCACTTACCCAATCTTGCTGGACAAAGCTGTCGAACTGGCTGATATTCTCATGGGAGCGTTTGACACACCCAACAGAATGCCTGCTGTATACTATAATTGGGCTCCATCATATGCGTCGCAACCACATAGAGCAAGTGCACACACCGTGCTCGCCGAGTTGGGATCGCTCTCTGTGGAGTTTACCCGGCTAGCGCAGATCACCAAGGAACACAAATACTACGACGCAGTCGCTCGCGTTACGGATGCCCTTGAGAAGTGGCAGATGGCAACGACCTTGCCGGGTCTGTGGCCTTTGAAGCTCGATGCTTCTGGGTGCAAGAAGCCCGAGGTTGTCCGAAACGTTGCAGGAAGTGAGCAATTCCTTCCCGACGGTGTGGAAGAGTCGGAAGAGAGTTCGAAGCCTTTCGAAAAGGACGGAATCCAGATGGAAGGCTCCGATTCATTGAAAAAGCGACAGGAGAATGATTCTTCAATGCAAAAGAAGGACGCTAGCAAAGCAGACGTCTCCCCAGCCGCTCCCGAAAAGAAAGTGGAGCCCGTAGCCCATACAGAATGGGAAGACGACTATGCGAACGTGGACTGTGAACCCCAAGGTCTGAACACCGAGCCGCATTCAACCACCCATACATATGGAATTGGCGCCATGGCGGATTCCACCTACGAATACTTTCCAAAGGAATACGCACTTCTCGGGGGGCTCAATCCGCAATATAAGACCATGTATCTGGATGCCATGGAAGTGGTCCGAGAGGAACTACTCTTCCGGCCCATGACCAAGGACAACCATGATATTCTTTTCCTGGCCAAGCAAAGCATTGCGCCAAAAGCGACCAACCCGGCGAAAAGGAAAGTGACGACCTACGAAGGCACTCACCTTGGATGTTTCGCCGGAGGCATGTTTGCTCTGGGAGCTAAGATGTTTGACATTCCCGGGGATATGGCTATTGCCGAAAAGCTTACCGACGGGTGCGTCTGGGCCTATGGCTCTACCACAGTGGGCATCATGGCAGAAGAATTTGAGCTGGTCCCTTGCGACAGTCTCACTTCTTGTAAATGGGACGAAAGCAAGTGGCATGATGCTCTGGATCCCCGTTTGGAAGAGAGAATTCGAGCTGTGGAAGCGTATAACTTGAATCAGCAGAGGTTGCAAGAAGAGGCAGCCGCGAATGTCGAGAGTCTCATGAAGGACGGAGAGGATGACGCGGTGGTTTCGGATCCAAGCACGAGAAAGAGAGATGCCACAGCGGAACCCGACGATGACCATGAGGCGGCTCCCGCTAATCTGATCGCGCAGTCATTCGTTCCTCGCGTGCCACTATCTCACGAAAAGTTTGTGGCGACGAGAATCCAGGAAGAACGATTGCCGCCGGGGTACACCAAGATCAAAGCCCGCGATTATCGACTTCGACCCGAAGCTATTGAATCAGTTTTCATCATGTATCGAACCACGGGCGACGATTCCTGGAGACAAAAAGGCTGGGCGATGTTTGATGCGGTAGACAGAGCGACCAAAACCGAAGTCGCAAATGCTGGGGTCGACGATGTGACCAGCCAGCTCATGGAGCAACGAGACACCATGGAGTCTTTCTGGTTGGCGGAGACATTGAAGTATTATTACCTGTTATTCTGCGAGCCGAATTTCATCAGCTTGGATGATTATGTGTTGTAAGTGAACTTGGATGGGCGCCCGGAAACTTTCTTGCTAACATTCTTTGACAACAGGAATACAGAGGCACACCCTTTCAAACGACCAAAATGAGTGTTTGATTAAAGACTGGTTTCGCCACTACGGGACCGGATTTGAAGGATAGACTGGAACGTCCGGACTGTATAAAACCTTCTCTCGGGGGCAGCTGAATGCGACATACATAACGTAGCATTGTTCGGCGTTTTCATGGGAAGGTGAAAAAAGGGGGAGGGTATGGATAGGACGAGAGAATCATAATTAATCGACGGACTATTGCCGGTGTCAGCCTCGCAGCAATTAGTCCTCCGCTGTAACGTGCCGTTTTGCCACCATGGGAGTAACCTGGTGATACAGTTCACAAGTATTTTTGGTCCAGATGGGCCTTCTTAGTCAGGCGCGAACACCGTAAGGATTTCCCTCCACGTGCGTTGGATGAAAGAAACTCTGGGGCATGCGCAGCTGGCACGCCGCTGGCTACAACTTCGTCTTGCCCATTCAGTTCGCTCCATCTTTCTTCGTTCTATTCACCTCCCCTTTTAGAACTTTGTCCCGTCCTCTGTGCCTGTGTGGTACTGTTCAGATTCATGTCCGTGCTCTGCTGCGCTCTTCGCTAATGAAGAGCATCCGTTGGTCCCCATCACTGTTCCGCTAAATCGCCTGCTCTTCTCCAAGACGACATGAAGCTGTTTATAGTATGGAACACGAGGCCACCTATGAATTCGAGGACGAGAACCAGTTCTGGACCGGTGAGTACCGCCACTCCGACCTCGAACCACCCAGTCTCACTCACAATCCGATTTCCAGTTCTCGATGAGACAATCTCCAGAGAATGCACTACCCATAGTAGCATCGACGATACCTTGCGATCCTACCTAAGTCTAATTGGCGCTTGTCGAGGTATGTTGGCCACGTCCGACAAGATCTGGGAACACAGTGTTGACGACGGGAATGTAGAGCGGTTCCTACCTTCCGACCATGATCTTGGTCGTTGCGCCTTCAAGCTACAAGATTCTCCATTATTTGCAACACACGCCGAATACATCCGCCGGCAGTTTGTCCAATGCTTGATTGAGGTGCGTGACACAACAGAAGGAATACCCCCTTTTTGTGGCTGACCAACTGCATAGGATGATGACCCTGATGTCATCTTGGTCTCGACCAGCTTTTTGATAGCCGACGCACAGTCAAATGAAAGGACTTATGAACTCTTAAATGATGAGGGCGCTTTTCCCAGATTGGTAGATCTGATCTCCAGTCGGAAGCGACATGGTCATGAAGGAATCCATCGACTCCTTATGGAATTGCTTTATGAGATGTCGCGCATTCAGAAGATCAAAATCGACGACCTCGGTATGTGCAGAGATGGGATCGTACCTGTGTTCTTTTTCCCCGGCCATGATCTAATGATCCGCCTTGCGAACAGCACATATCGGCGATGACTTTGTGAAAATGTTGTTTGAAATTATAGAACAGGTTTCCGACGATGTCAATGACCCCTACCATTATCCCACCATCCGTGTTTTGGTGAGTATACCAGACCCGGCGAAAATATTGTCTGACTGATTCTCGCAGCTCGTCCTCAATGAACAGTTTATGGTCGCTGCGCATGACCCCGCCAATAATCAAAACGCAATTCCTCTCACCAATAAAGTGATCAAGGTTCTATCTGCGCATGGCAGTGCATACAAGACGTTCGGAGAAAACATCATCCTGTTGCTGAATCGAGAAGGTTTGGGTTGTGTCATTCGTTGTCTTGTTCCTCTCACTCACCAAGTCAGACGAGACATCATTGCAGTTACTGACGCTGAAACTGCTGTACCTATTATTCACAACTCCTCCCACATATGAATACTTTTATACCAACGACCTTCGGGTCTTGGTCGACATTTTAATTCGAAATCTGCTCGATCTTCCTGAAGAGGCCTCGTCTCTACGACATACGTATCTGAGAGTTCTCTATCCGCTTCTCGAACATACGCAGTTGCAGCACCCGCCCCACTATAAAAGGGAAGAGATCCGAAAATTGTTGATTGTCTTGGGCGGCGGACACCTTAGCGATCCCAGTGGAGGCCAAAATAGTTTGCATCATTGGGGCCATTTCGACGCGGTGGACGAAACAACAAAACGTCTAGTCAAACGATGCGAAGGTGTGAGTTGGTTGATGGATCCCGAGACTGAACCCCCAACGCAAGCGGAGTCTCCGACCGATGATGGGGCCTCTAATCCTTCATCTCCAACGTCACCATCGAAAGGACGACCACCAGCTCTTCCGGCTCCGCGTAAATTGAAGAAGCGAAATTCTTCGAAAGGTTCTACGTTGACCATTGGGCAATATCTCACTCCTCAACTGGAAGGGGCCAGACAATCAAGTCTTAGCATGATCGAGGTGGCCGCACAGAGAGAAAAACCGGGAGTGATCACTCCAAGCAGGAACCCGAGTTTAAAGCAGAATCTTCGGGCGGCAATCATTCACAAGAAAGAAAAACCTCCACCACCTCCTCAGGCAAGACGATCTGGTTGGACAAGAATGAAAGCGCAAAGACAGCAGAGTGAAACGGAAATCGCTAATGCTGGAGTCGGTAGTGGGAACGGAGAATCCGAATCGAAGCTCGAAACCGAAAATCAACTCCCTCATATTCATCCCCCATATCCGAAGCTCCCACCAATACCAGTACATTGTGACAAGGAGAAAGAGAATCCCTTAAAACACGAACCACCTCCCGTTCCATCCCATCACAGACCCCCCTTCAAGAAACCTCCACCTACCCCGAAAGCACGTCGATGGAGAGGAAAACGAGGAAAAGAAGAGGATGAGGGTGGCGGCATGAGTGGCGAGCCGAGAGAGCCTGGAAAGTTCAACCCGAGTTTGCCTTCGATCGTGACCACGACGACAACTGGGGAGAGAATACGTGAAGTGAGTCCATTTTCTCCCGCGGAGAAGACATTAAGTTCGCCGAAACCGGAGAACGCCGCGAAGTTGGCCGTGAGCCAGGCGTTGGAGAAGGCACAAGCACAAGCTCTAGAAGACATCACGGAAACTTTGGAACAAGCTCGTATAGAATCCAAGCCGGAGGAAGAGTCGGACGAAAAGGTAAAGGCAAAGTCGCGACAACTCGAAAATACGATCGATGAAAAGGACGAAGAAGATGACGACGAGGCGCAAGATAATGATGGCGAGCCAGGAATTAGGGGAGATCACTCTCAAGAAGAACTAGATGCTCAGTTCCATGACGCTCTGCCTAATCAACCTCTTTCCCAAACTGCATTTCCTCAACCGCAACCGTTGGACACAACTACAACTCCCCCTCTAGCTTCAGAAGATACCTCATCGATGGTGCCGACAACAATAACGCCAGCGCCCAGAATGGTGCTCACTCCTCCGGCGCAAGAACCATCTCGTGGCGTTCCGGGCCCGCAATACGAATTGGAGCGCAGTCCGTTCTTGACCGATGAGGAAGTTGAAGCCGAGGGAAAGGACGATAGCAGTGATGATGCGAAATAAACGAGATTTGCTCCAAGAGGGGGGATTCTAAAACAGAAGGGAGGAAGAAGAGACGAGAATGAAAGAACTGTGACACAAGTGTGGTAGAGACGCAATTGTAGATACAGATTTGCATGCAACGAGTAACTGAGCGATTCAATCAAATCCAATCCAATTGCATCTAACCGGTTGAGACCACCTAACCCATTGCGTGATATTCTCTGCTCTAGATCTATGTCCGGGTAGTAAGGATATCGTTCCCACTTAGTATATCTAGATTCGTGGGTCTCGGCTCTGGCCGGCCCTGTAAAATAGAATCAGTGGGACGCTTCATGGGATCGAGTGGCTCGATTGGGCTCGATTTGACTTGATTTAAAAAGCTATCTAGGCATCAACCTATTGCGCGTGATGGGAAGAAAATATTGTAGATTTTTGATCGTGGCTAGTTAGGTCTTGGAGGATCGTCATGCTTGCTGATTGGATTGGATGTCATGTTTTAATAGTTGTTTTAGTCTGCATTCTATGCAGATGGCAATGAAGAAGTGAAGGCGATTTCTTGACTTATTGATTGTCTGGGTGCTGTAGACTCCGACCCGATCTGAAGACAAAGGAGAAGATGATGAGCAAACGCCGTCGCTATGCATGCTGAAGGAGCACCGTTACAATTATGACTGTTGATTGCCTAAAAGTTCCTGACTCCTGGCAATTTCTTTCATGCTCTGTCATGCCCCCATATGTCCCGAATCAATGTCGTATGAGTTGCCCGAAAAGATTGTAAACCGATGTAAGATCTGAAACCAGGCCATAAAACTGAGGGTTCTTTTTCGTCATTTTTTTCTCTTTGTGTACTTTTGCAATTCTGAGGGATGTTCTTTTCGAGTCAAATCAAATCGATTCGCGCTTCAAATATAATCGACCAGCGTTTCAATTTCTAGTCGATTCAATGGCCGTAGATGCCGAAGAACTGTTCAACTCCCCACGGACCCGGATCTTTGTAGGTTGCGTCGTACGCCTGGAACAGGAATATACCACCAGGGTTTCCACTAAATGCAGTCCTCAGGCTTTGGATGGCCGATTGTTGATTCGCGGGTGATGGAATGGCCTTACCATTCGGTGAACCCTGATATGGCCAGCCCGATTCGGTGATCACAATCGATTTTCCGTTTGCACCTTTCGCGATGTTGGAAACGGTATTTGCCACGAACGTCCCTGCTTGCTCTGCTGTGGTATGAGAGTCGAAGAAAGCGTGAGCATTGACAGCACAATAATCCGAAGCTTGACACAGTTGCGGGTTGTTCTCGTGTGCGATGAAGGTATCAACCGTCACAACGTTCTTGGTGAATCCAGCCAGGGTGAGGATAGGACGGGCGACTCCAAGAGCAGCAACCACGGCGCCGGGATTGCCACCGTTGTTGACCACTTCATTGCCAACCACAATAGTATCCACTGGATCCCAATCTCCATTGATCATACCGACGAGCTTCGTTATGTCACTGGCAACATTGCCAATAGTGTTAATACCAGCGACGACTTGCAAGCCTCGAGCAGCAGCGGCTGCCACCACAGCACCAAGATCACAACCAATGTCGTAAACACGGACCTTGGAGAATCCCTGGCTGGCCAAATAGCCAAAGTCCGAATTGAGAGTGCCTGAGTCTTTGCATCCAGATGAACCGATGAGCTCGTAGCAGATACCGTAGCCAGATCCGACGGAACGAGCGTCGTTATCCATGGTGACCTTGTTTTGGTCATTGGAATCGGACGATGCTGCCGGCGACTGGTTGTCGCGGGAAGAGTCGACATCGGATGGCGCAGAACCGGACGAGCTGAGGATCGAAAGCGCCGCAAACGGGCGGTATTCCTGGGGGGAAGAGGCGACGTGAGCTGGGATAGTGGCGGCAGCCACAGTGGGAATGTTGGACGTTGTGGTTTGAACTGTCGGTCGATTGAAGCTTGACACTTCAGGGGTGGGAGTAGGGTGACCGCGATAGTCGGTTGAGAGAACGTTATTGTATTGATCAACCCAGAAGACTGCATTGGGAGCAATGACTGTGACAACCTCGGCGACCGTAGAGTAGTCGGTGGCTACCTCGCGGACAGGATGTCGGTCTGGTTGTTGATGATTGCCTCGTGCGCGTAAGTTGTGGTTCAAGTCGGGCCTGAGACCGCAGAACCTACCGTAAGGAACAGCGACAGCCAGTTCCCGTTGCACGACCAGAACAGCAAGACTCCCAGGAATCGCTTTCATGTTTTGAGGCCAATAGTGTGAGGTGGTAGTGAAAAGAGTGTGAGTCTATTGCCGATTGCCCGGCCCCGGATATGGCAAACAACAAATGAGCGACGATATAACCAGCCGGGAGGAAGTGGTGGTCCAAGGCAATAGCCGGGGAGGTCGACGGGGAGATATGTAGTTGGCAGAGGTTTCTGGGTTTTAGTATACAGGTTGCCGCGAACGAGAGGGAGATTGCCAGTCAGTGCAGACTGGCCCATGCGCCTCATTTGAGGCCTAAATACCAGCGCAGTCGCTTTGTTGACATGGGCAACGAGCAGACAAAGCACAGACAATGACGAGATGGCTCTGGCTTGTCTGGATCCGAATGGATGGCCGTTTCTAGAGGAACAAGAATTTGCGATCGTGGTTGGGGCTGCTCTGAGGTACAAGTGACGGGGGGGTCGCGTCCCGTTACCGGAGACTGCACACTGGAAGCTGCGCGCAGGCGAATGACATAAGAGCGTGCGCAGACGAAGAAAAGACTCACCAAAGGAGTGGGTGGATTGTTCGAAAGGCATAGTAGAGAATGGCGGTTTGCAGAGAATGAGCGTCGTATTATTGGTGTCGGCGGAGTGAATGGGAGGAATGAGGAAGGGAGTTGCGAATCCTCGACCTTGACAACCACCAGGGTGCCGGCAGAATGATATCTGACGTGAACCTCGATCGCCTTCACTGTGCGCGTGCCCTTTGCCATTCGATTCGATGGTTGTGCACAGTCAACATGAGAAATAATGGCGTTCATGTGCCCACGGACACCTATCATAGTGAAGTCAACAGTCGCGTCGCCCTCCTCTCCGCTGGCCTCGTTAGTAACGTCAACAAGATAAAAGATACACCATCTGTCGTGTCAGTGTCAGTCATGACTGAGTTGATAGAGCTGATATCCGTGGAGTCCCTAACGACAAAGGGGGGTGTTTCACTGCATTCTTGCGCCCTTCATCTTGCCATCTTGTCTCCAAAGAGAAATATCTCCCAACACGCACAGAAAGGAGTCATTACACGGTTACTCTTGCGCTGGCATTCTTCAGCTCTTCCTCGGCTTGCAAGCCTATCGCCTGAATTTCTCAAAGGGCCGCTAGGGAATGGCGGGAGAAGGAAAAGAGGGGGGAAGACGGGCTCTTTTTTCCGTCAGGAGTCAGGGGTTGAATTTTTATTCCACATTCAGCCTGGTCTGGTCATAGGTCAGCCTCGTTGACAGAATTAGACGTCTGTCCCTTTAAATGCAATATATTCCGTTGATCCTGTGGTTCCCACATGCCCCTCCTGGTTCACGGAATATTCATGATTCTATACCACAAGGCTATCCTATTCATCAGTCACGACCTTGCATCAGGTCGTTCAATGGGTGCGTTTGCGTAGCTGCGAGAGACGCCGACCACGGCCGTCCTCGCTATGCCAAATCGCCCGATAAACCCGTGAAAATGCTTTTCGTTCCTGATCTAATGGCTCAATGGGCTTCTTCTCATCCACCTCTCTCCCCGAAATCCCGTGCCCATTTCTCAAACTCTGCTAATCCCTTCTTACTCACACTTGGCCGAATGCTCTCAAGACTGGCTTCGAAGTCCATCATGTGGATGGGTCGGATCTGCTCTTTAGGCGTGAACAACAGTGCCTCTCCCAGATGCCGTAACGGTCCCATCGCAGCATCTTTGGCCAATGCTGTGATGTCCGACCCAGAATATCCTACATCCAGTCAGCATGACCGTGCATCATCAAAGTTATGGCAGGTGATCTTCGTTGCTCACCTTCTGTAAGTTCTACCAGTCGTTCAATATCTTCCGCGCTCAAGTCGTGATTTTGATGTCCTAGCAATGTGCGAATTTGTGTTTTCCTCGTCTCGGCTTCTGGCAGAGGAATATATTGACGCCGAACGAATCGTCGCCGTGCTGCATCGTCAATATCCCAAGGACAATTTGTTGCAGCCAGCACCAACACTCGACTGGCATCTCCCACCGTGGTGTCCTTGCCCGCCGCTGCTCTCTGGAGGTCCGACCATTGAATCAGAAATTCCGTCTTGCTCCGCCGCGAAGCTTCGTGCTCGCTCGATCCACTTCTCGCACTCAGGAGAGAATCAATCTCATCCACAAAAATGATACTTGGGGCGAGGGCTTTGGCTAGGGCGAACAAGGCACGAACCAATTTCTCCGACTCGCCATGCCACTTGCTCGTGAGACTGCTGGCGCTGATGGCGAAGAACGTACTCTTGCTTTCCGTGGCCACCGCTCGGGCCAGCATCGTCTTGCCGGTCCCGGGGGGCCCAAACAACAGCATTCCGCGAGCAGGCTCTCGAAGTCCCATGAATAGGTCCGGTCTCAGGAAGGGATACACCACTGCTTCTTTCAACGCCTTTTTGGCTGCACTGAGACCTGCAACATCGTCCCAATGTACTTCATCGCCTTTGACCACGATTTCATTCAGGATCTGTTTGGCGGAGTTCTCATCCAGGCCCTTCGGGAGGTTCTTCAATACCTTGACGATCCTTTTCTTCTCTTCTGCCAACTCGGAACCGTCATCTTCCAACGATTCACCGTCAGTCGATGGAGGAGTGATTGTCTTTGCGGTGTCCGTCCGGGCCCCGCGGGATCGCCTGGGTCTGTCCAGATTTCGTTTCAAAGAATCATCTTCGCTGTCCGAATGCTCATCCCGCCTAGGGGGAGACCGCCCTCTTGTCTCAAGGGCCGTGTCCGCGTTGCCGACGGGCTTTCTGGATATACCGGATGCACTACTAATAGAGCCGGCCCGTTGATAGGCTTTCTCAAGTAAATTGTTTGCAAGCGGTTGCGGAACTCTTTGTACCCGTGCAGGATATTCTTTTCGATAAGAAATATCTGGCGCCTTAGGCATAGCTACCGGCGACCGAGTCCTTGTTTTAGAAACGGTGGGCCCCGCGGACGACGCATGTGGAGGAGGAGGAGGAGGAGGAGGAGGTCTCTCAGGCTCGGATTCGAAATCTATGAGGCTTGGAACCGATTCAGACGTCAATGTCAAGTCTTCCATCGACTTCATTAACGAGGACTGCCCATGGGACGAATTCGAGGCATCCCGCCAACTTTGTGGCGGCATAGAGTTGGGCACTGTCAATATCGGGGTCGGATAGGATCTTCTTTGCTCTTCGTATCTTACGGTGGCATCTTGGTCAATACTGCGTCTGGCTGCCGTAGCACTCAGCCTGGCTTCTATCGTCGGGTCTGAATCCGGTCGAGGAGTGGTCTGGGAGTTCTTTCGTGGCTGTGCTTCCCACGCTAGGCCAGCGGCCTTCATGGTGTCGGGCATCCTGTCACGATTGGGAGCAGACCGATATTTCCTAAATCCCTTTTTCTCACTCCGTAGTGTCGTCCGCATTGTCTTCCTTCCATGGTCTGGACTAGGGCTCCTCGAGACTTTAGTACGGGGAAGCGGCAATGTCGGCGGTGGGACACCGAAAGGTGAGGACCGGGTTCGCGAAATGGGAGAGGTCCCATCCTTGCTTGCTGTCTCGCTACTTCGACTGCTTCCCAACGGCGGTCGTGTAGGCAATGCCGGCGTCGCACTTGGAAGTTCTGACATCTGAATAGGTGGTATCGTCTCCTCTCCAAGCCATACTTTCGGTTTGTCCATCGTAGTCTCAGAGGGGCCTCGATTCTTTTCTAACCGTCTCCTTCCACTCCCATGTTCTGGTTTCTCTTCCCTTGGCGAGTCTCTCCCTGCCTCCTGGCGGCTTCGCTTGAGTGTCTCGAGTAAGTCAACTCGTTCTTTACATTGTATCTCTAGTTCTCTCAGTGAATCGAAAAGGGCTCTCTCGGTCTCGGATTTGGGCGAATAATTCGATGGCAGTTTGTAGACTTTGTAGTAGTTGATCTGGTCCAGTGCCGACTTCCAAGACCGGAGAGCTTCAGGCTCATTACCCTGGAAGTGAAGAATAAGTCAGGTTGGAATGCAGAGACCAAAGATGGGGGGGCAGGTGTACCTGGCCTTCAAAAAATACTGCAGTGGAACAGTGGAGATAGCACTCATCGTATGTCTTTTGCATCGACGAGGCTGGCTTGCTCCGCATCATGATTGCTTGTGATGTCTCGCAAGGACATGCTCATATCAGAGAAAGAGCAGAAGAGGCTGCGGGCGGGTCGTTTTGAGGGCCCAAGCCTCGAATTGGAGTCTGCTCGCTCTACTACGTCACCCATTCTGCCCATACCCAAAGAGAACAGCAGTAGATAGAGAACAGGCCTTTTGGTATCCTCACGGGGATCCATTCTGACATTAGAACAAAGCTACAAATTACGTCCTACACGGGAAACCCTACAAGGTACCGGAATCCAGCGAACGAGTCTTCACAACGTGTGGATGGTAGACCCCATAGACGTAAGCAAGAAACATCTTAGCCCGGCATATTTTTATCTTTCGTTGCTCGTCAGCCTTTCTATCAAATAGTGAATAAAGCCGATAGTCGCTCGACCCCTCCCTTTTTTTGGTGATAGATATACAGTATTATCCAAGCCCCTCGACGAGGACAACTGACACGCCCTGCGTCACAATGGTAGCCTCCTCGAGGTAAAAACGCCATGTCGCATGCATATGAGTGCCTCCCACCCGCAACTCTGCGCCGGTTCTTGAAAAGCTTCAAAAATCATGCTCGAAGGAAAACCAGCGCCATGCTGATGGTAGCAAGTAGCGCATCAAATTGGGTATCTTGTTTCGGGTGGGAACCGCTACGACCGACAAGTCCGAGAGTTCGGCCCAAGCACAAAGCCCGCTATCGCGGGGGGGTTGCGCCGGAATAGTCAGGCATAGAGAGTCAGCAAGGGATCATCAAAACTTGCTGGTATGAGAAGTCTGGTCGTCTCGGAGGGTGCGCTTGAAGTATGCCTTGGCCATTTCATACGAGGACCTGGGAAGTGTTAAGAGTCGCTACACAGCCGCAGGGTGAATGCTTGGGGAATGTTTCCCGGAGGACTTACCAACAAATCGCAGTGCTTGGCATGGTGGTGATGATGCGTGGTCGCCAGCCCCTCATAAAACCACGCCATCCATACTCTTTCTTGATGATGGCAGCCGCATGGAAGAGTCCTCGAACATTTCGAATTTCGGCTTGTTGACTGAGTCCTCGGGTTTGAAGCAGTGTTTTGATCACGTCCAGTGGGGTGGTGATGCCGGCCGCAAATGCACCGGCCAAGCCCCCAGCCACGCAATGTGTAATAGGATCATACTCTTTCCGGGGATTCATGATTTTCGACAGAGACTCGTAGGCCATGAATTGCGTCGCTGTGAACGGTACCGTCATGCAAAGTGTCGTGGGATAAGATACGTAGAAAGCAGAAATACCCTCATTGCGCAATACGGATCGGGCGCAGTGGGCTATTGATCGATACGTCGAGCCGTGAACCTGCATCCGTTGCTTGATAACTGTCTTCTTGTTAGTCCCCAACAGTCATCCACGTCGTTGGCCGTGTATGATTCGCACCATCAAATGGGTTCATTAGAGCATCACTGGCAATAGTTGCGCAGGCTCCACTTGCAGCTGTGAATTCGTTAGCCCCAGATCCATGGAACGCCGCCGCTGCCCATAGCTCCGTACCAGCAGCAAGAGGATGGTGTTTGCCATCTGCGATGTTCCCTCCAGCCATCTCTTTCACAACCTCATATGTACCGAAATACACGGCGTGAGCAGGACCTGTGGTGGCAATGTCAGAATTGTCCGCCTCCCATCTCTTGAAAGTAGCCTACCTGCTCCAACAATGACGCTGGTCACGCCTCTCCATAACGTCCGGAGGCCTTCTATCCGATATATGGTAGATACAGCGTGTGATAGTCCCGTATATAGACCTCCGGCCGAGGGATTTATGATTTGCATTCGGGTCTGCGGGCAATTTGGATTAGCCACCTCTCCGCTGGCACTCTGGGAAGAACGATATTACCTTCATCAAATCCACAGGATACATCACCGTGTGCTCCTGGAACACTATCAGCTTGATGTCCATTGTATGTGTATCGAGTTACCCTACCGCAATGCCTGCGAATGCACCGGCCAACATATTATGTCCCAGCCCATAGTTGGGTGGCAGAGCTTCGTAGCTGCGACAGTGTCAGTTTTTTTCCCCATCTCCCAATCCACCCGAGAAAGGAATCACGCACTCATATTCTTCACCAGGTACGACATCCGGACTGCTCGAAACTGACATATTCTCCGCGGGCAATGCCGCCGGGAATTTGGCTGACGCCGCCACGATTGCAGGTATTTCTGTGGCTCGCTCTATGTAATGGTCTGCGGAGAAAACAATGTAGAGAGCACGAATGGACAATGAAGGCCTTCGCCGACGGTGAACGGGGCTTATTTTTTTTTAAAAAAAAAAAGTTTTTCTTTTGAAATTTTTGAAGAGCGTCACACAATCGAGAGGCCGAGAGGTGCAAGAGAAAAAGTGACCCGAAGCAATATCAGTCAGAGCCTGCGCGAGACCTGCGCCGACAACCAGGAATTTGTTAGACTTGGACTTTTTGGAGTGCTAGGTTAGCTAAGAAAGACCCCTGGCATCGTATGTAAGTTGGCCCAGCTTTTGCAAGCTGCGGGAGACTTGCTGGAGGGCTCGTCCTCGCAGCCGCCAATTGCCAATTCGCTGGCGGTCCATGTTTCCGTGCGTATTTTATGCTGGTCTTCTCCGAGCTCGCTGCTCACTGCTCGCTGATAACCTCTTAATTCGGTCTGGTCTCGCTCCCGATCTACTCGACTCGGTCTATTCGCCCTGTTCGCCGGTAGCTCAATTCAAATGCGAATGCGAGATCCGTCACGGAACGGGGATGAGAAAATTTGGGTCTACATCTGCTGAACCCCCCTCTCTTTCTATTTCCGCCTCCCACATCATGGCCTCACCGTCACATGTCTTCAGCACAACAAACATCCCTCGCAATATAGGGCATCATGGATATCACCCTCGTGGTCCCAGACAGTCTGTTTCTTCACATGGTTCAGTGTACTGGAAGCATGGTAGTTTGTCAGGAGAAGGAAGGCCTGACAACTACACAGAGCGTATGTTTAGAAAAATATACTCTGGCATGAATAAAATCCTCACTGCACATATGCCATAGATGTCTTCTACAGCCCAATATGCCACTCATGATAATTGAAAGCTCCCTAGTTGAAGCGCCGGGCCCCTCGTGGCTATGCAGCCGAAAATGCCCATCCACTAATTAACGCCTTGCTACCACCATCTGTTAGGCGTGGCCTTGCCAATGCTTGTACCATACCACGTTCATTTCACCAAGCCGAATCATAATTCCACATTGAACTTCCACTGGTCTGTCAACGGCGCGTTAGTATTGGAATCGTCAAAATCGGGGTTGAACTATACCTTTCTTCAGATTTTCAGCTGTGTCACTGAGGAGGATTTCTCTCCTGCGATTGCAATAGGTGGTCTTGTCCAGGATTTCCACTTTGAGACCTCCAAGCTCATTCACAGGCTTTTCGAACATTTGACTGAGATTCTCAACGGCCATTTCGAGGTCCTTCTGGTTGTCTTCGAAAATTTCCGTCATATTGTTTCGCGCCAGGTAGAAGGCGAACGCATAAGTCCATTTGAGTGTCTGACGGCAAGATTGCAAAGCTTTGGATGCGGTGTCGAGAAATTGAACCTCAATCCATGACATGTTGGATTGCGTCTGCAGGCTCGTCATCTTTTTCTCCGTCTTGAGCCACAGGTCTTTATCCAGTTTGGCTGATTGTTCGTGGTTTGCATAGCGGTTGTAGTAATGGAGGTATCGTTCGAGAGAGTGTCGAGATCGTGCTTGGGCATCACGGGCGTCGGCCCCGGACTTCTCTTCGAAGCGGTTGCAATTGTACCAACTGCTTCCATGTTCAGACCAGGGACCCATACACATCCAACAAAATTCATGCTTGCATTTTCGGCAGGTCATGTGGTTGCAACCTCCGTTTTTCTCAATGGTCGAGTTGCACTTGGGGCATTCTTTGGTGTTGGCCGAGATCCAATTTGATGTTTCGGAATCGTCTTCACACTTCTTCAACCATTTCTTGACCAGGGAACACGGAGCCGGACGATGATCGGGGAGGGTACATCCAAAGCAAAAGCTGTGTTCGTGTGCACATCGGACAGTGGGAACAATACGAGTAAGGTCTCGCTTCTTGACAGCACAATCAATGGCATATTCACAATCTGGTGAAGGACACCATTTCAAATTGTCTTTGTCGTCGACATATGTTCTGCTGAGGAGGACCTCATATCGATCTTGAACGCTTTGATTAACCAATAATTTGAGCGACTTGGAGTCCACGATGCGATGACAACCGTCAAAGGGACACTCGATTCTCGCCGCTTCGCCCTCTTCCTTTACCTTTTGGGTCAGATAGTGAGTGTAGCAGTCGACACAATATCGGTGGTCACATTTCATTGCATATGTTTGCAGGGCTGGGCCATCTTCATAGCAGATCTCGCAGGTAAAGCCCTTGACAGTCTTTGTTTTAGGAGACTCTGCAAATGTCGGTCCCAAGCCTGCAGCCTCAAGCACTTTCTCTGGGTTGTCCATGTAGGTTTCAATCAGTTTCTCCTTGTTCCACCTCATGAAGCGTAGAAGTATGGCCGCTTGTTCAGGCGGCAGTTCAATGATTGATGCAACTTCCTGGAACTGCCGGTCTTGATGTGACTGGATGTCTTCAGGGCTCAGGACTTTGTACTCGACCTCGTATGGTTTCTGTGGGTTGGCGAGGATGTCCTTGTCGTAGCCGAAGCCACCATCTTGATCTTGATCAAAGTCTATGACCATTTGTTAGCGTTGGAGAAGCACTTGGGCACTGGAAGCACCGTTGGGTATACGTACCACCTCCTAGACTGCCAATGTCACTGTCTTGTGTGCCTTCGTCGAAATCGAGTTCATCCCCGCTGGGCGGGTCAGACATGAACTCGTCCTCTGAATCCATCTCTCGTAACGACGGCGAGCTGTGCTCAGTCACGGGGGTGGTAGGAGCCTGCGCTTGGGCTTGGACAATGGAGGTCTTGCGGGATTTGGTAGGCCCGTGCCTCGACGCGTCGGTGACGCACTCCTCAGCCTTTCTTTTCTTGAGTTGAGGAATCGTGGCGACTTTGATAACGGCAGCTGTGTCTCTGGATGAGACACCGGGCTGCTAGTGGGGGATGACGGGAGTGGCGGTTGATCGTCTCAGGACTCGGCGTAAGTGTTGAGGACGGATCGGGTGATAGCTCAAGCAAAACCTCGGAAGGGAGATGGCTTGGACCAGTCACGGCGCCAGCATACAACAAAGGACGGGATGAGAAGTGGTGGAAGAAAACTGGGGGAGAAGCTGCCGGTTGGAAGAGTCGACTCGAGGTGTCAGGATAGAGGCAGTGGTACCGCCGGTGACTAAGGCCCGCAGAAGTACTTGCCTCCGTGGTATTGTGCGGTACTGGCGTGAATCATTCACCGTGCAGTCTCTTTTTTTGGGGGGGGGGCTTTTCAAGTGACCACCAATAAAATTTGCGAACTCCCACTTCGCCTCAGCCTTCTCATGTCGCTGACGCTATTACGCTCTCCCTGCCAAACCGGGGACAGTGTATCGTGTGCCATCTGATTTGTCCAAGGGATACACGGAAAATCGTGCTGATAGGGTCCTGATGGCTATTCACTACTCGACAAACTCAAAGCTTTGTTGGCAGGGACTTCTGCACGTACTTGAGTGGTCGCCGGGTCCAATTGCTAACGAGTGGGGGAAACCAGGACGGAGGTTTGAGGTTCGACTCGGCGAATTTTTCTTTGTGGTCTATCAACTTGCTTTATCAGTCGTCACCTTCCTCACTTTCACTCTCGCTCTCTGCATTCTCCAGCCACTCGATGAATTGTGAACTCTGCTGCTTTACTGCAGCCATTTCAGGATCACTCTGCGATCTCTCATCAGCCCACCAATCAGTGAATGCTTCCTCCCCAAACACCTCAAGATCGTAGAGGTCTTTGACCACAAATAAGAGAGTTTTGCCGCCTTCTTTCCGCCGTGTCAGGTCCTTTTGAGCATCCAGGAGGAATAAGACTTGCTCCTCCGTGGTTTGGGGGCCCCCTTTTCTTCGGATGAGTGTATTGTATCCAGTAAGAACTCGTCTCGTGGCATCAGCTGCCGATAGTCCAGCGTCGATTTCGCCGTGGATATGCTTCATAATTGCCACGGCGACGGCCTTGCGCACTTGCGTCTCGTCAGCCCCTCCACTAAATCTGAGGCCCATAAGTTCGCTCAGCATATCATCAGCTTGCTGGCCCTCCTGCATTCGCTGCACCAGAATAGCCACTGTGTCGTGTTGGAATCGGTCGGTGGTATCCTCATCAGACGTGGACGTTGCGAAACTTTGACTTCTTGATCCGTTCAAAGAAGACACTTCGTCTTCAGAAAGATCTGATTCCAGGGTCGAGGCCGAGTCGGCGAATTCTGGTCTTTCGTATACCAGTCTGGAGACTCTCGAACCAAAGGGGTCTTCTTCGTCTTCGACATAAGCATGACTTTCTCCTGTCTGACCTCCAACCAAGGCATCATTTTTGGGGTCACTATCTGGGCTTCGTTGGCCCTGGCAAATCCGGGATCCAGGTGGTACCGTAGTACCAGGGGCAATTTTTACTCCGTAAGAGATCAAGGCACCCTCTCCAATCGTGCAGTCGTCTCCTATACAGGCCTCATTTCCGATGATGGCTCGGGAGATTTTGACATTGTTACCCACGGTGACATCGTCCCAGATATAACCGCCGTCGATTTCCGTGTTTTTGCCGATATGGCATCGGTGACCGACCACACTGCTTCTGATGCCACATCCAGCCCCAATACTGGTGCCGGGACCCACGATGGATCCCGAGCTAAGCTTGGTAGGTCTTGCAATCATCACCGTCCGGTCGACGACATGTCCGTATTGAGAGCGGCTGTATCGAGTGCTGCCAAAAACATTATTTTCGACAGCTAATGAGGTGATCAGGCCTTGCTTGAAATCTTGGGATATAGAGTTGTAAGACCAAAAGTCTGCCGCCCGGGATGCATAGTGGTCGTTGACGATATAAGTGTGGATGGATTTGCCATTCAACTCATAGTCCTTCAAAACGCCGAACAGAAAGTCCTTGCGGGGTACCTGGTTGTCGAAGTTGTCGGACCAAAGGCTAAGCACATCGGGAGTACATATGTCAATGCGACAATCGACGAGGTCCTGCCTGACGTCTATTTCTGGTGATTTCAAGACCTCGGGGTCGATTTGAGTGGTGGATCGGGTGCCAGGAGAGGCTTCCTCGTAATGTAAACATCGATCCTTGGTGGGATCGAGGACGAAGGTGGGTACGACCCCTCCACTGTGATCATGGATGCCTGGTCCAGCCTCCCTAAGAATCATAGTCATGATGGCATTTTTGTCCTTTTCTCTCCGGGTTTTGTGTTGCTTCAAGGCCCTTTCAATTGGGAAATTGGAGACAATGTCGCCGCTGACCACAATGAAATCTCCGGCGATCAGATGTTTCTGGTCCAAATCTCGCATTACATCGCCGACGGAGCTAGCCACACATCTCAACAAGGTGAGGCTCTCGAAGGGAGAATTGGAGGATTTCCAACGAGAGCCGTCAATGTACGTTTCCACCTGGTCGACGTGAGCACCGGCATAGATGTAAACAATCTGGACACCCGCGCTGGCTAGATATTCCAGACTGTACTCGATCAAGGGAGTGTTGGCGAGGGTGAGTAAGCATCTTGGTCTTTCGACGGTGAACGGGATAAATCTGGTCTCAAAGGTGTCGGCGATGATGACTGCTTGCAAAGGATCTTCCTTGGAGTCATCTCCGGATCTTCCTTTGGCGCCAGCAGCTTTTTGGGCTTTGGGTGGCATAGTGGTGAATTTGGTGTGCGTGATCTCAGGAGAGAGTTGGACAGGAGTGTCTGGCTGGGAAAATGTGGTTTGTGATGTAGGCAAGGAGGTGGACGTGCATGGTCTCGGTGGCGGAGACGTCTGAGATTTGGTGGTGTTGGTGTTGTTGAACTGGAGCCAAAGAACGGATGGAGTTTGTTCAAAGTGTGGTGTACGAGGTTGTCAGTGCCCGGTTTGTGAGTCACTCGCTTTTCACTTGCCCGGCTGGCGAGCCAATGCAGTCTTTGTAGATACCTGGCAGTCGGCCTGAGTAACTTAGTCCTGTAGTGCAGTGCCAATCCCCGCGATGGCAAGTATTGCGAGGTCGAAGGTATACATTCAGCGTGTGGTGTCGGGAGAAAAAAAATTGTTGTGGACAGGAGCATTACAGACGGAAGTGCGTCATAGGCACATAGCCACAGCACCCTAGCTCTTCGCCCCTAAACCCCCCAATCATGGATCATCGCTATCCTCTCGTTGTGCCTGTGTGTGATCCAATTTGACCCCCATCATCCACTACCGCCATTCATTGTCCATCATTCAGTCATTTATCATTCACTCATCTTTGTCCTGTTGTGCTGCTCATTCAAACTTTGAATTCGAACTTGTTCATACCCTCTCTACTTCTCACCAACCTTCTCCTCTCTTTGGTTCATTCTTCTCTGCGAAATCCAGTTCCTTCGGATCTGTGGTGGCATCCCTCTGCTCCCCCCTGTTCATCATGTCAACAACGGCGAAAGATGCTGCGCAGGCGAACCCACACATGGAATTAGATCCTAAATACGACGACTACGACTTTCCCACGACTTCCCCCGAAACCCAACCCGGACATCCTGGCCACACAACCAAGGAACAAGATGCTCAGGTATTCCAGCTGAGGTTAATGTTGGAACAAGAAGGATATACCCAGAGGCTGGACACCTTGACATTGTTGCGGTTCCTACGGGCGCGCAAATTCAACGTCGAACTGAGCAAACAAATGTACGGCCTTGCTAGAACTACCCAATCCCGAGTCAGGGCTAACTGGGCCTAGGTTTATCAAAAATGAGGCATGGCGAATGGAATTTGGCACTGATGAACTGGTCCGCACGTTTGACTACACGGAACGGCCTCAGATGTTTCAGTACTACCCTCAATATTATCACAAAACAGACAAGGTACGACACTCCCAATCCATTCTCTCAATCTCAATCGCTCACGGTCCCCTGTCAGGATGGCCGACCTGTGTACATTGAACAGTACGGCAAAATCGACTTAAATGCCATGTACAAGATCTCCACCGCAGAACGCATGGTTCAGAATCTCGTGGTTGAGTACGAAAAGGTCGCCGACCCTCGACTGCCTGCCTGCTCTCGCAAGGCCGGTAAACTCCTCGAGACATGCTGCACCATTATGGACATGAAGGGGGTGGGCGTTGCCAAGATCCCTTCTGTATACGGCTACCTCAGATCGGTCAGCGCCATTTCCCAAGACTACTACCCTGAGCGCTTGGGTAAGCTGTACATTATCAACGCTCCATGGGGCTTTAGCAGTATCTTCAGCTTCATAAAAACCTTCCTCGACCCAATCACTGTCGCCAAGATCCACGTCCTTGGTTCAGGTTACCAAACCGAACTTCTGGAGCAGGTTCCAGCAGAGAATCTTCCAAAAGAATTCGGCGGGACCTGCGAGTGCGAAGGCGGATGTCAATTTAGTGATGAAGGCCCATGGAAAGATCCTCAATGGGCTAAGCCACCCAAATGGGCCCAGCAGGATCCCACCACGGGCAAGGATTCTGCAAGGACTGTCCAGCCCGCTCCCTCGGACGGTGCTCAGGATCCCCTCACCAAAGACGACCCTGCTCCAGCTTCAGCCCCTACCGAGGCCGAGAACGTCCCTTCAGAGGGACCCAAGATGCCCGTATCATAGACCAAATGTGAAAGTAGAGGAGATGGAAAGAAACCTTAGAATACAACTTCAGTGGGACAAAACAACGAGCCAGTGTGAATGTATCAGGCAAAGGAAAGGAAAATGAACGATGAGGTTGTCCTGGAAGCACTTGAGTTGATTCGCATCTTGCGTGTCTTTGTCATCAATATCCATTGCAGAAGCCAATGGCCAATCCTATCTGCTCAATCACTTCCCCGCTCCAAAATAGTGGGCGCATGTGTTGAGCGTGGGTTGGGCGCTCAACTACGTGCGGACTTGAGGTCTGTTGCACAGTCCTGGCCGGTTTGGTCTTCTTCACCAATTCGTGCTGTCCTCATTTCAATCTTGCCATCGTTACCTGTCGTAGGGTTGTCAATTTCGTCTCTGGAGTCGTTGGCGCTGAACTAGGCCATTTCTCTCATGCGATCACTGCACCTAAAAAAACGGGGATCGATCTGTTGTCCACGAAACCAATGATTAGTGCAAGGGATGTGTGCGCTTGTGACATGGTCCCGCTGCTCAACTTTGGAAATGGGCTACCACGAATGTTTTCGGCAAAGCAGCAAATGTGTATCCTCGTGTCGTCGTGATGATCAGTCGAGACCGAACCTTGGTAGAGATCGTCCATGCCAGGCGATGGCGGGACCCATGATTGTCGGCGACCCATCCCCATGGCGGTGCCTGGTTCCGTTTTGTAAGGACAAACATTCGAACGTCTGTCAGCGTCTCACTCGAATTCCATGGCAACAGTCCTCGCTCTCTGAATCTTTCCCACTGTCCCCGTCAAACTTGCGGCGTGCTGGGCTGAAGCAACCGAGTCATTCTCGCTTGCTGTGAGCCCCGAGAGCGTAGCTAGTTCGCCCGTTCCTCTCTCGTACATGGCTTTGACGTCCTCGTGCCACCCGTCTCTCAGCGGCTTGAGTCGCAAGTTTCCTTCTCCTGACTGCACGCTCTTCTCCCGCACCGCGGCCATCTGGGCCCCGAACTCTGCATCATCCCGCGCCAATTCCGCCATCAACTTCCGCTGAAACTCGTCCGCGCCTTGTCTCGGTGCCGTCCGCCTCAGCCGACTGACTTGCGCCGTCAATGCTTCTAATTCTCCGTAAAGACCGGTGACCTTTGCCTGGAGGCGACTGTCATATGCCTCATATGCGAAATCGATCCCTTCACGCTCTTGCTGGGGCTCCTTGGATTTCGCCGTTTCCGGCGCGGTCGTCAGTTCCGGGACATGCGTAACTTCTAACCCATTGACGGTGATGTTTTGAGCAGCGCCTGCCCATGTCCTGGTTATGAACGTGTCCACGAGTTGTCGAACCCGTGTGAGGAGCGGATCTTCCTCTTCCTCTGCTTCCTCTTCGAGGTGCTGCTGCACACCCTCCTGTTTTCGCGCCGCGTCCTCAATGTTCGCTGCAGGATTCACGCCGCCCAGCGGGATCACAGTTGCCGGCTGTGCTTGATTTGTGCTACGTCTCTGTGTCGCCGAGCGAGGGAAATGAAGATCGAGTTTCTCTCGCGCGCACGCGACGAGATTGGATTGTAAGTATGTGAGATCGTGAGGGGATTGTAGCTCGATCTTGCGATGGTAGGGGCCGGAAAGGGGAGGCGAATGAACAGGAGCGTCTCCTTCCATCGCGCTGCAATATATCTATCAGGCTCGGAAGTCTGCAATGGCTCTTGTTCACGGTGGTGCTGTGATTCATTGGGGGTAAACAAATCGATAACGTGAGGCTGAAAAATAGCGAGTTCCTATTGGCGGATGCCCGGAACGTTTCTTCCTTCAACTAAACTGCGGAAGAAAAGACAACCAGTCTACAACTAGGAAAAACGAAGCAATTGACATGCCTTTGCAAAGAATGCGCCTACAACTAGCAATCCCACTGCAGGAAATTCCCTAGAACGGAGAGGACACGGCCAACCTGTAAGGACGGATGACTTGACAGGACTGTTCACCGTGTCCTTTGATAATGGAAACACGTGGGAGAGGACAACACCCTGTGAGGCGGATATGTGGAACGAAAGATTCGAGTCCATGGATTTGATTCGGCTTTTGAAGAACAGGCGAGCATCTGCTTGTCTATCTGCTTCCTCTCATTGTCGGACGATCTGGCTTGAATTGACCTCGGTACCGTTCTTCCAGTCAATGCATGTTCTCATCCTACTTAGAATCATCAAAGACGTAGGTCAAGTGGCAGCGGCCACAGTATTGTCGGTTGTGCATGGCCGCCATGAAGACACCAGCGCCGCATTCCTTAGTCGGACATTCACGCCTCAATCGCTCAATCTTGCCATCGCCATCGACCTTGTAGTACTTGAGTACAGCCAACTTGGTCTTCTTACGCTTATGCTTGATCTTCTTGGGGGTGGTGTAGACCTTCTTCTTGCGCTTCTTGGCTCCTCCCCGCAGGCGCAGGACCAGGTGCAACGTTGACTCCTTCTGAATGTTGTAGTCGGACAGAGTGCGGCCATCTTCAAGTTGCTTGCCGGCGAAGATCAGGCGTTGCTGGTCAGGAGGGATGCCTTCCTTGTCTGTGGAGAGGAACATGAGTCTCGGTGCGTAACGTGGTTAATTCAATGGGCACACGAACCTTGAATTTTGGTCTTGACATTGTCGATGGTGTCGGAAGACTCCACCTCGAGAGTGATAGTCTTGCCCGTGAGGGTCTTCACGAAGATCTGCATGTTGAAGATCTGTAATGGAGAAAATTGCGCGACAGTCAGTTCCTTGCTTTTCGTGAAGAGGAATGCACACGAAAACTCCCGAGCGTCGCAAAAAAGGTAGAGAACAGGAACGTTAGCCAGGGGGAAGAGAGAAAACTCACCTCGACAAAATTGTCTTCCTCAATCTTCTGGATGCAGAAGGGCTTGTGAAGAGAGAAAGAAGAGGCGAGAATGAAATGCGGTGCAAATTGTCGTGCGCGGCTTGGCATGGAATTTGCCGCCTTTATCTAATCTATGGAAGCAACGTCACATGACTGGCAGCCACATGTCAGTGGCCGAATCGGGCGGTTGCTCGAGTCTCCCGGCTGCGTTGCTCCTGCCAACGACTGTTTACCGCAAGCCTCATGGAACTCAACTGACGCACTCCTCGTTGCTGACGCAGGCAGGCCACTTCAACTCCATACTTGTACCCTTCCATCGACTCTTTGACCTCCTCATCATCCTCCTTCAGACCCTCCAAATATCCCCCACAGAAACAAATTCTACACAATCGACAAAAAAAAAAAGACCTACAAAGAGCCAGTCGAGAAGCCTCTCAGGATCCAGTTCTGAACGCACCATTTTCCCCTGCCCTGAGAGGGCCCCTTCTCATATCCAAGATAGTTGCAAGCACTGCCTGCGACTGGTAGGAGCCGTATAGCCGGGACCGCAGCCCGGTCCGCAGCCCATTGCGCTGCGTGAGGTGAGTGGAAGCAAGATGTACCCGTTTTGAGAAATGCATGGAGACTAACGGGAGTTCAATTGCAGTCTCGAACCAGAAGGTATATTTTCCGGAATTACGACAACACCCTTCGACAAAGCACCGTTTCGAACTCATCTCGCCTAAGATGATGTCCAATCCACCTTCATCTCTTCAGCAACGACAAAGGCTACATCGGAGACAAAATTCCACGCCTGTTGTAGCTTTCGAAGCCATGAAGGTCGCCGCCAACATGCCGCCACAACGCCAGAATCTCCACAGACGGGGCCAATCTTTTGACCAACAAAGAAGCCCAATTCGCAAACACCAGGAAGGCAGCACGGTAAGTATTACTAACCTAGGACCAATCCACGGACAGCAGATTTTGCGGGAAGCGCAGCAGCAAAGAATAGCTAGACCGGGCCAGCAACAACAGCAACACAACATACACTTAGACATGTCAATTTCTCCAGATTGCGGTATATATCCGGCGGTTTCAAATTCAATCCCCGACCCGTCGTGTGAACGCATGACAACGAATGCGATCATGCACCAGAATCCCCCGGGTATTGATTTTGCACATTCACAGCTATACTTCTCGGATATGAACATGCCGATGCAAAATGGAATTCCGAACATGGGGCTCATGGACGAGAACAATCCCCAGTATCTTCAAAATGCTCAAAGCGTTCATTCCCAACAGAGCAACGGCATGTCTTTTGGCAACCGGAGAATGTCGCAACCAGATCTGCGGGTGCAGACTCAATTGCGTCCACATACACCTTCCCATCAAATTCAGACTGGCAAGTTCAAGAGACTTTTCAAGATCACACTATTCGGACCTTTGAAAGCATACTGACTTGCGTTAGCTCAATTTCCTCTTACGCCTCCCTTCAGCCAACACACCCCGGCTGTTCAATACTCACGATCATTGAAAACATCGCCTGCTCTTCAATCGCCGTATCCAGTACCAATGTCACGAGGAAGATCCCTGCAGGGTATTATCGAGAATGAAGAATTCAAGCAAGACTATTTGGCCACACCTGCCGGTTCTTCCTTCGAAATCGCCGAGATGGCCACTCCTGAGCCCCGTAGACGAGTTCAGACCCCTCCCCTACAACAACTTCCTGACCCAACAAAGGTCAAGGCTGAGTCAACACCGAACAACGATGATGCGAAACTCTTTGAAAACGGTGACTCTCGGGCGTCCAAGCTTGCAGACCAGCCTGTACCAGTCCTGAGTTCTGGGAGAGGTCCTGCGGGCAGCACCTCCCCTGGAAGGCCCGCTCTTTCACCTCGACGAATGTCCATTTCAGATCTCAATCTAGACCCCGGTATCGAGGCCTCCATAGAAGAGACCAACATCACACTGGATGATATCGCACAGTTCATTGAGGGTCCAGATCCAGCAGACAACAAATGGATCTGCAAGTACGAAGATTGCAACAAGAGATTTGGCCGGAAGGAAAACATCAAATCGCATGTTCAAACTCACCTCGGTGACCGACAATTTCGATGTGATCACTGCAAGAAATGCTTCGTGCGTGGCCATGACCTAAAACGCCACGCCAAAATCCACACTGGCACCAAACCGTACCCATGTCTATGCGGAAACTCATTCGCTCGCCACGACGCCCTGACGAGGCATCGACAACGAGGCATGTGTATTGGTGCATTTGACGGTGTGGTCAAGAAGGTGATCAAGCGAGGTAGACCCAGGAAGCACAGACCAGACATGGAGGAGCGCCTTGACAAGGCCAACCGAACGAGGCAGAAGACCAGTGAAGCGCAAGATGCCTATACATCTTCCGCCTCGAGCTGTTCCATCTCGAGTTGGGGATCGCCACCAACGGAGCACATGGACAATTTGAGCATCAGAGGCACCTCACCTTTCGAGGGCATGGCTCTCTTCGGCATGCCCCAGCAAAGCCCAATGAATATTGATCCGATGATAAGCTTCCCACCCGACACCTTCTCGTTCACGCCGCCCGCGAGCCCAGGCTACTCGACAGGCAATAAACCGAGTCCGTCCTATCGAGAGCTGACGCCTGCAGAACTAGGCGACATCCCTGATCTCCAACAAAGTGTGGCGTCACAGCTGCTGCCAGAACTTCCCACAACGGACCATAGCCTACCGCTGATGAGCACCGTCAATGTTTATTCTGGCCACAGTCTGCCGAGCCTGTCACACTCGAGCTCGTCCCCAGCCGCTGACGTCGTGGCCTTCGACTTCTCCGACCTGCCTACCGACTCGTCGGTCACGATACACTCGAGCTTGTCACAAATGCCCATGAAACTCGAGTCGGAGAGAAATGACTTCGACACATTTCTCGATTATGGCGGCATGGAGATGGGCCTTGATACCTCTAGCCAGGATTTCTTCTCCATTTAACGCGAGCGATCCTTGCAACAATCGACATGTTGTGACGCCAGAACCGGACAATGGTAGCTTTGCCAATTTGAATGTGTGAAATGTCAAGTCCTTCGACGAAACTATGTACTGTACTCTAGCCAATGGATGAAACTGATTTTCTTGATGAAGCAACATGGGTCTCGCTAGATGTCAATGTTATGGATGTCAGTCATTACGGGATAAGGTGAAGCGGGAAGCTTGAATGAATATACTTGAAGATGGGATTTTGGGCTGGGTTGTGTTCATGCCTTGATTTTGCATTCTTTATGACCTTTGCTTTTATGGCCCTTGGTTGGTCCGAGATTGAGGCAGGAGCCTCAATTGTACATTCACTCCTTTGGATGATTTGATCTGATTTGATTTCAGAAAACGTTGGCGCCAGTGGAAGTGGGGGGTTCCCCTTTGGGTCTATGTTGCTTTCGCCCTGCGGTGTCTTGCTTTGCTTTGCCGTTTGGGGACAAAGTGAGGCAAAGCTACCGCAGTGGGAGAACAGAAAGACTCAAAGTTGACAGAGGGAAGAGACTCTGAGAGACACTCACTATCTGATCCTTCTTCGACGAATCGACTGATCCGCTCACTTTCTCTTACTCTTCGCATCCTGGGAACACAACCAACTGCACTGGTTAGCATCGTCCCTGTCCACTCTTTGTTGTCTGTACTTCACACTCACTCGCTCCGTCTGGTCAGGAAACTAAATTGGTCGGGTGACCGTCAAGACGGAAAGACGCAGACAGATCGACAGGTCTGAGCCGTGGACGAAAAGTATCATGTTAGCTCATTGACAAGGGATGGATGGTGTCGACGATCATCTTGGATCAGATCGTATGGTGAATGGGACCGGATTACAGTCTTTTCCGCTGCTATGCGACCGTAATTGCGAAGTGACGCCCTAGGGGAAGATTGTTAGAAAAGGAGGCGTGTGTACCTCAATGACAAGTACCTAAACTAAGGTAGCGCAATTACCATTACCATTACCAATACCAGTCAATCAGTTGGGTCACTTCGAGAGCCAAACATTATTCTCTGTCTTATCGTTTCTTATTATATTTACTCCAGGATTCTTCTCCTCGTAGATGGATGTTCTCGCTACAAATTTGCTTCAAAGGGAAGAAAGAGGATGAGGATACCGCTGCCGTAGTCGTGCCATAGCTGTGTCAAAGATGTAAATGGTGAGACCAGGGTTGGATAACAGAGGGGTACTTGGCTGTCTACTAAACTAAACTCAAAAGGTAGCCAGCCGGAGACGCACTGACAGTAACGATACTGTAACATACACAATGAAGGCTTAGTCGACGATCTACTAGCATGGAGGCTGAGACGGAGGGTGTGGTGGAGCGAATATCACACATCCCTCTTGCGTCCCTCTCAGGTGGTGATCCTAGACTTGTCCTGTGCAATCCGGGTGCTGGAAACCTCGAACGCCGTGATGTGAGCGGTGCAAATGGTACGTGTGATCCCTTTCGATACCTGCTCGGAGGAGGTCCTGGCCAGAGAAATGAGGCTGACTGTGCCCGTCACCGTCCAGCTAGTGGCCTCTCCAGACCAGGATCATGGCTCGCATGGGCCCGGACGACTGGGCTGCCGATGTTTTGGAGTCAAGGACCACGAATGTCAATTTCAGGTGATGTGTTGTAGCAAGTCATGCGTCAATCCAATTAATCGGCGGTACTGGCCCTGAGTGATGATGGCTTGTAAGGCATTCGTCTTCTCTTTACATCCGAAAATCCTATCACCCAGGGGACAACAGGAGCAGGTCCTCCGCTATAGGATATACAGGGCGCCGAACAAGACACGTCCAGGTAACATGGAACACGTGGGGGCGGGTTATTTGCTTGTCGCGGAGTCAGGTCTCTCGAATCCTAAACCCCATATGTGCCGGGAATTGACGGCTCAGGGATCAGCTTACAGCTGTCGCTTCGGATTGGACTTTGGCCTTCATTCTGGGTGACCAATGAAAGACCCAGAATGACGAACAGAATGACGTGCTGGAATGGGTTACGAACTTTTCGTACTCTTCGCACCACCGCTGTTCTGGACCCTCACTCGTCAAGGGCCGATAACTGAGGTAATCGGAGAATTGCGTCCTTGTTACTGCTGGAATCTCCAGTCTAGGGCTGCCTGATTCGATAGATCGACTGTTCTGAAACGGAAAGCAGAGGTGTGAATCGTTTCTCGTGATCGAATAATCCAAGCGGCTTCCCCAGGACTGCGTCACAACATTTGGCAGAGCTCCAGGGCTCGGTGTTGTTTAGCAGAGGCAACTTAGGAAAAGGAACCACGGCGCGCTTTGTCCTAGTCCACGTGATAGATAGGTGCACTCATCAATGCAGAGGTGGCTAAGTCGGTATTTCAAGGGTGGGTGCTTGTATTTACCAGCCTCCGCGACCTGTCTCGGTGCCGACCGTGTAATATTCCCATTTAAGCAGTAATTCATCTAGAGAGAAAGTCCTCGAGAATAGGATAGAGTTAGTAGCCGCGAGTAGCCATAGGGAAGAGCTGGAAATATCGCAATGCGGATGGGCGCATTGTCTAGGAGGGAAGTGGGTCGTAGATGAGAGCCGAAGCTCCTCATGTCAAGCCAGGGGACCTTGTGAGAAGTCACGGAGAGGGTGGCATCGGGCTCTTCTGACCATGTGTTGTGTGCGATGTGTGCTAGGGTCCAAGAGTAGATCGATATATCGCCCGGGGAAGACAAGCGTTAGTATCAAGGCCTCAGTCGACAGACTGGTGACGATCAATTTAAAATGCCGAAACCAGAAGGACATTCATATCCTCTCCGAAGTAAAGTTGAAGGTCCAGATAGAGCAGACACTTGGTCTGACGGATGATCCCAACGACGGAGCCTTGCGATCCGTGATTGGTGGGACGATCACGGCTCACAGAGGCCTTGGCATGATCTTCATTTCCGAACCAGCCCCAAATCGCTCCAAAGCGCACTGACTAGGAACAGGGCTCGAGAATCCCCCAGAATACCGAAATCCAGTGAGAGGGAGTGTGGCGGCTACGGTGACGTTGTCTCCCTCCATGAGGATCCATCTGATTAGTCCACTTGCTTCGACCCCCGTAACCGCTTCGAAGTTTCCTTGTCTTTTTGCGCGCCTTGGATTGAGAGATAAAAGATCGGCAGTCAACCAAGAAAGTCTGAGACAGAGGACGACGGAAAGATTGGATATTGAATCATGTCTTGTCTCGTCTTAAATTCGCCGAACCGTTTGAATTCTCCGCCATGGAGTGGACGGCAGAAAATCATGCCCACATCAATGAGGTAGAAGGATGTGTTTTCGCATGAAATTCGCCACTTTGGTAGGCTGTCAGGGTATTGAGGCATTTGAAAAGAATGAGGCTCCATTGGGTAGTCCACACCGGTGAGATGAGATATTTTGCGCAAAAGGGGGTTGATACGAGATTGAAACTCCGCCACAAACGTCAAGACCTCAAGTCAGGAGAGGAGGAGCAGGTGAGGAGCCCCTCAGCATCACGGTCCACGTGTGCGAACAGGAAGCGATGGGGATATGGGCAACCAAAGCAGAAATGCAGTCTCGCGCCTGAGTTTTGCATAACTTTAGAGCGGTGTAAGAAATTCTCGTTGCATAGGTCGGCCCGCGCAGCACTACATGCAGAAGGTGCATGTAGACTGTGTTGCTTATCGGATTCGCAGTGCGGTCAATGCTCACCCCACGGTCCTAAAAGATTCCATGCAGTGGTGATCGCCGGATCTCTGCTACAAATATGACGGACATGAACTCGCTGTCTGAGGGGGAGAGGTGGTTGCCAGAGGCTCGCCGATCGAATGTTCCTTGGGGGGATGGTTAATGGGCGAATACTGTTTGCCACCGACCGAGCAGGGCATAGGAGGGCATTTGTTGGGGACCCAGAGACTCGACGGACATGTTCAGCCACGTGTGAAGCGCTAGTGTCTTAACTTCCTCTGCAGCCTGGAAGAGAGGGGGGAACGCTCATTCAATAGCGTGATGTCTGGAAATCCCAGGAGAGCAAAATGAGAGGTGCGAGGTACAGGATTTGTTGAGACAAGAACCAGGGCGATGAAAGTGAGGCGAAAGAGGAGAGGGCCCGGTCACTTGTGTCGCGAACGCGCATGATTGGCTGGGCACCATGACTAGCACCCTGCATTCCTCGTCTGCCCTGACTGCCTACCATCGCCCATCAGAAACCAGACTGCTCTCTGCGAGAACAAGGCAACCATTCGTGTAGAATTGCATGACGAGCTGGCTCAGGTTCTATCATGCCCCCAGACCGAACCTCTTTCGCTTGGAAACAACAAGCGCCACAGCATTGGCTCCCTGGCGGGCCTCCACCAGTCGCCCCTCTCTCTGAAAGCCTTATTTCATGCTCGAGGCTGCTCAACATCAGACTCTGCTTTCTCTTTCTCATGGACAATTCACATCAATAATAAATATCACTCAGCGTGTCGGGGTTGAACGTCAAGTTCACCAGCTTCTACTCATTGCAATACGTTTGTGACTGCTGTATAGCGCCACTCCACCAACGATGCCTCAAGCCCACACATCCCAGGAGTATTGGCTCCCTGGCTATGGCCTGTCTCGACATATCGTGCTCCGGCAGCTGCAGTATTTCCTGGGACCATCTGCTACAGTCAGACCCTACTCATATCAAGTATGAAGGCACACATATTCCGTACAGCCGGACCAAAGCTCATCCATCCCAGGGTCGAGAAGGCTATCTGATCAACGGTACTCCTCTGACAAAGGTAGATCGACCACAGAAGTCTTCTATCGGACACTGGCTGAAACGATGGCAGGAGCAAATCGAAGACCTTAGACGGCAGTCGCGCGAGTATGAGAGGCAACAGACTATTCGAATGTCCGGCAAAGCCATTGCAACCACCGACTCAGCCGAACCGGACATCAACGAGCCCGTTGCGGTCACTGTCAGCCGACGAAACAATCCCGCTTACTCATCGACATCATACGCGCCTTACCAGCGGTACCGGTGATCAACGGCGATGGGCTAGGCTGGAAGTCGAGCTATAGGAACCTCTTGAGGAAACACCAATTGCTCCAATGTGATCGATGCCCAAAGGGCCAGCAACAGCTCATTCGTGAGAGCATATGATGGTGGGGTTCGCAACAGTCCACCCGAAAGGGTCCGGGTCCTCACGCATCATGGAGGCTTCTGTGTTATCAACATCGGTGTTCATCGAGAATCGCTGGCAAGTCAAAGGCCGTCGTGCGAGGGACTCTGGGGCGTGGGATTGGTCCAGGAAGGTCTGGAAAATTCAGATTGGGTAGACTTGCGTATGTCGTTATTTTTGTCCCAAAAGAGAGAACTTTGCAAAAGCTGGTGCATAGCGAGGGAGCCTGTGGACCGTGTCATTCGGTCTTGGTTTGCAGATTTGTGAGTTTGAGGGTTTGTTAGCGTCGATTTGTTGTCTAGAAAGGACTTCAAACAAAGCGCTGCTGTTGGTAAATATCAAGCCGGTGTACTTTTGGATAACTTTTGCAATGCATGCAAGGCAGACTGGTGGGGTGAAAGTTGTTCAGGAGCCTCTGTAGGTGGTATAGGTCCAAGGCCCAACAAGGACGGGCACATGATAATGCCGCTCTCCTTTTTTGACGTAGAATTTGACATCCACTTCAGGCCAGAAACTCTCGATGCCCTTCTCTTCATACCACGGGCCAATATCGAACTTGATACTCCACGGGGTCCGCTCCCCGTCGTTGAACGTGTCCATAACGTCAGACACAGTTTTCCCCGCAGCGGGCTGCCACTCTCTCACGCGGCCGTCATCGTTCGTAACGGCGGTGAAACTCACACCGGCCTGGGAAGAAGACGTGGAGGTCGATAACAGGGTAAGGGTAGCTGTGAGTCCAGATGCCGGAGTTCCAGAGAGGGTATTGAGGACGTGGCAGGTGATCGGGGACGCCATTTCCTGTGCAGGACGCTTCTAAGCGAAGTAAACAAGCAGACGGGGTTGCAATGAGACCTCCGGCACTGCAGGCAGAATTTATAATTTCCTTTGGAGGGTTTGACGGGCGGAGTATGCCGAAGTGCATTGAAGTGGTGATTTTTTTTTTTTTTGATGCGGCTATTCCAATTGGGGAAACAAGTCCCGCCGAGCATTGCTTATCGAGGCGAACTTCCTTGCAGCACAAACTCAATGGTCCGAGGGTGTACGTATGCCAACGATAATGACGGGTTGTTCATCTCCAACTCTGGAATCCTCTCGATACCCCTGGGGAGATCGTTCCCTGATATAAGTCCCTGGAGAAGGATCCGGCTAGAGTGATCGGTCGAAATGCTACTTCTCTCTCCATGGTGGTACATTTCGTGGTGAGTGGTGCGTTACCCGCCATTGTTATCGGTATATCCCTCGGCCTCTTGTGTATTTGTCACATTGCTTCCTCTTCTTCGCCATCTTCTTCGCTTTGGCCAAGTTCTCGATACTCCTCAACTGTCAGTGGTAGTAATTCGGCTTCCTTTTGTCGCATGACATAACGCATCATTACCCAGGGCAAATACTCGGTAATTTGGTGTTTGATGAAACTTCGCGTAGGAATTGAAAACACATCGTCCAATTCGTCGAGTGTCTTCAGCCGAGTTTCGGGAACGAAAAGGAAGACCAGGAAGACGGCGACAACGTTGAGCACTGCGTATAGGGAGAATGCTCCCTGTGACTTCAAAGCGGTGAGAATTCTCGGAAACGTCAGGGAAAGAACGGCTGCCCAGAAGTTCGCTGTGGCCACAGCAAAACTCATGCCGACTTCTCGGTGTGAAAGAGGGAACACCTCTGCCGAATATGTGTTTGGTACAGGACTGAATCTAGTTAGTGGAAGGACCATCACATCCGAGACCACTTACCCCATCCCGGGCGAATACAGCGCGCAAAATAGATAGATCAAGGTAGCAAGGAGTCCAAAATGTGCCGGGCTTTGCGTTGGTATGCTGAAACTCAGGCCTGCCGCCAGCATCGTTATTGCCATCAGCGGCAAGGTCAGGAGCAACAGTGAACGGCGGCCCAGAGTGTCCATAGTCCACACTGCCGGAAATGCGCCAATAAAATTGACCAAGCCAAACACGCAGGAAGCTAGCAAAGCACCAAAGGTAGAAAATCCGGCGTCAGAGAAGATCTAGAGATGAGGCTTTATGTTAGAAGCCGTTGACAAAGGCTTTGGCCAGGAGTTCTCTAGATGGGCAATGGTCTCAACCTACTGTTGATGAGTAGAAGGCAATGATATTAACTGGAATCTTCGTGTCAGCAGGAGTCATTTAAGAAAACCAGAGAGGCCCATACTGCCACATAGCTGCTGTGAGAGCATAACCACATAAGATGCCGTAATAGCCCGCCGGATCCGGGGAATTGTGAACAACTCGATGATCTTCCCGAAGAAAGAGACATCATCTGGGCCGCTGACTTTTGATCTGGCTCGCCTTTGCACATACGTAGCGTAAACTTCCTTTGCCGCCTGCAGCTCCGTATTTCGCAATTTGCAGAGTGATCGAAACGCCCGATCGTAGCGTTCGCCATGTTTTATGTACCAGGCAGGCGACTCAGCGCAGATGTACAGCATGACGAGCAGAGGTACGATCGGTATGAAGGGCGCTGCAAGTTGTAGCCTCCAAGCTTCGTCGCCATACTGCGAAGGCCGTCAATGTCAGCTCTGATAGAAGATTTGAAGTGAAGAAGCATACATTATAGACTGCTGCATTGGCGACAAATCCGAGAAATATGCCAAAGGCCACCCACATCTGCCACGATACTGCTAATCCGCCGCGAATCGTAGGTGGCGCACATTCTGCAGCATAAACGGATACAGTGCTGGCGTTAATCCCCAAGCCAGCTCCAAGAATAAAGCGAAATGCCAGCAGTTCAGGCCAACTTCGACTGAAAGCAGATCCAAGATTCGAAATCAGGCACAGGGAGCTACCAAAGAAGACGGCCCCTCGTCTGCCTAATCGATTATTGATGGGATCGGAGAGCCAGGCACCACTGCTGAGGTTAGCATAAAGAAGTCGACATAGATTTTGAGGAGTTGGCTTACAGAACCCCTGTGCTGAGATATATGCCGCTATTGATGAGCCCGACGATGAAGGTGTCATGCTTGCTTTTGGACCCAATACCGAACGCCCGTGGAAAATACAGGTTCGCTCCATTCATGCCTGTCTGGGCCCAGCCTTGCTCGATTGCACCGATGGAACAGACTAGAATGGTAAAATATAACATTTTTGGTTGTTGCCATTTCCTGTCGGTCTCGTTCTGTAAGGCCTTCTTCTCGTGGGGGCTCAGGTCCGCGATACTGTCCAACGGGGTTTCACCCCGGAGGACGATAGCAGCCTTTCGTAAAACATCGAGGCAGTGTATCAATCGCTGGGCCTCTGCAAAGCGCTGGACATCATCCAAGGTCGGTTCTCTGGGAAGGTCGACCGGGGACCGAAGTTCAGTTACGGTAGGTGTGTGATGCGAGGATGATTCTGATCCTGATTCTGCGGGTCCGAATTCGACGGACTCGTGATGGTGAGTGTCAGCTTTGGACATGGTTTCAGGCATTTGGTTTGGTTAGTCGAGCGATGCCCCGGACTCGCCACCCATTGTCAGCAAAGCGAAGAGGGCATGGCTTGCGAAGAAGAGAATTTTCAATTGGGAAGACGTTAAATTAGCTGCTGGCTGGCTGTGTTAGCAGAGTTGGCCTTTGGAGCCGAACACCGCCTGGAACCTGGAGTGCTACCCCTCAAAGTCTCTCCGTTGGGAGTGCTGTTGTGTCTGATTCTTATGTACCGTATCGCGACCACCTCGCAATATCCCTTTCGAGACCGGCGAGAGGCTGCATACGTAGGTCTGGGCATCTCGTACACGAGACCTCACACCACGGTGGATGGATTTCATTCTGATGCCTCGTTAGCATCCGGCAGAGCGGCAATCCCACAACCATGCATCTCGATGCCTCAAAGTCGAAAGCTATCCCCTCCTCTTTAACCTTCCTTCGAGGAATGCCTGAAATGCATGTGTCCATGGGCCCCCTGCACTTACCAGTCCATTGCCTTCGAGAATCTACTCTGGTACTACCTGATTCCAAGAAAAAGGAATAGCTACAATTATGTAGGGGCCCTCCAGAGTTTCACACACTTCTCGCAGGGATGGGATCGCGTCGCAACGGTATGTATGCCTTTTGTGGGGAGACGTAATTGTTGAATACCTAGACCCAGATAAGCTCTATCTATAGGACTTGTCTCATCAATGTTGCTGACACTTTTCAAGCAAATCTTACTGCCTCCTAATTTTCCGTGGCTACACCTGCGAGAAACAATTATCTGAGAGACCCAAGGACAAGCGAGCACCTCTACCAGATTGAAGACCTCAGGTCTCCACTCGTCCAACCTTTGCCAGTCCAATATGACAAAACCTTTTCAGCAGCAACGCCGTCTGACCCAGCTAACCCAGCTAACCTTCCTGCACGTTATGAGATTCGGAATTTGACAGAGGCCCACATCTCTCGGGCCCTTGCTATTGTCATGTTCTATTCTCCCGTCTGGTCCGTCGCTTATCCAGAAGGGAAAACGGCACGAATGTATCAAGGGGTCAAGGCTGGCGAATATCTCATTCGGCATCAAATCGAATCGGAACACAGTTTTGGTGTCTTCGACCTGGAATATCAATTCAAGCGGGAAGAGTCCAAGCCCGATGGCAAGCTGTATTGGGATCTCGATGACACCAACCTTGGCCCCGAGGAATTACTCGACCAGATGGACTTCCCCCTCGTCAGCGTCGCGATGGCCTACGATGGCTTCAACGCGCTGGAGATGGACAAGATAGGACTTTTGATCGAAAGTCGCCCGCTGCTTGCAACAGTCTCCCGAGTCCTCGGCGGCGAGATCCTCGCGATGACTCCTGGAAGCCCACAGCAGAGAAACAAGTCTTGATGCGTAACGCAACCAGCACCCGACACGAAGGCAAAGGCATCATGAAGAGGTTGGCTCAATTCCTCATGCGATATGCCGCTGAGGTGGGATTCCGAGGCATTCGGATCGACTGCATCCAAGACGCCGTCACCAAAGTGTGGTCTCAGCCTCCGCCGCCGGTCAAGAGCACGCCCATATCTGAGTTCCATACGAGCGACCTTTACGAAGACGAGCAGGTCAATGGATCTACCCGCAAAGTCAAGCCTTTTGGCGAAGCTAAGCAACGAATCACGAGGATCTTCGTCGACTTGAAACCCAGTGCCAATGGACACATAACAGCTGAAACTTCTCTTCCAACGGTGGCAACTGCTTTGGAGTGAGGACCGGATTTCAGTCAATCTTTGAAGAGCTTTGTTCAACGAGGACACGATTTGCAGCATGCAATGTTGTTTCACTTTTTGGGTTACAAAACCAAGAAATGTTAATCAATTTTGACTCTCATATGAGCGAGGTACAAAGACTCTCGCTCGGCTAATTCTTGACCTTTTCAAAGCCGACAAATTCAGGAAGCGCCGCTCTGATTTCCTGGGCATAAGCAGGAAGCCCACCTGCGTAATTGACTTGCTCGAACGCCTTGCCTGGCATGCTTCCTCCCATGTATGTTGACTTGGTCGTTGGGAACAAACTCCTGTCGGATAACTCGTTGATTTTCTTCTTCCAGGCCTCAGAGGCTTCGGCTGTGGGGTTGATATACTTCAAGCCTTGTCTTTCAATCTGTTTGATGGCGTCGACAATCCAGCGACCCTGGACCTCCACACTCGTGGGGCCATTGCTCAGTAGAGTTGGTCCATGAGGCCCATAGAGATGGAACATATTCGGGTATCCACTAATCGTCGTTCCCAAGTAGGTGTAGGCGGCCTTCTTCCACTCGTCTCGCAGAAAGGTGCCATTAATATTGCGAAGTCCCATTGCTGTCATTCCGCCTATAAGCCCGAAATCAGTAATCACATCGATTTCCACCAAAGATGGCAATATTACCTGTGGTGATATCGAATCCTGTAGCAATACAGATCACGTCGAACTCATGAACCGTGCCATCCTTGAGCTTAATTCCCTTTTCAGTGAATTCCACAATAGGATTGTTCTTAATATCGACGAGTTCAACGTTTGGCCGGTTGAATTGCTCGTAGTAGTTGTACTCGAGACATGGCCTTTTGACACCAAACGGATGTGGTGGTTCCAATGGGGCAAGAAGATCTCGGGTCTTTGCATCCCCAATTCGATAGCGAACATTTCTAGCCCAGAAATCATAGGCCTCTCGATTGGCCGCTGAGTCAAAAAGATAATCCTTGTAATTCCCAAGCCAGAATCTAAACCCGCCGTCGTCCCAGAGTTTTTGATAAAATGCTTCGCGCTCCTCAGGAGTGTCTTCGAAGGTACCTCGCTCGGAGAAGGTGTACAAAAATCCACCAAAGCATTTCTCACGGAGACTGAAGAGCTCTGGATAGTCGGGCTTGGCTCTATTTTGCTCTTCGGCCGTCAGAGGTCTCTTTCGCATTGGAACGGCCAAGTTGGGTGTTCGTTGGAAGACCTTCAAGTGGCCGGCCTTTGGACCCCAGGCCTGTACGATTTGGACCCCAGAAGCACCGGTGCCGATGACGCAACACTTCTGTCCTCTCACGTCGATATTGAGGTCCGGCCAGAAGGACGAATGATGGACGATTCCTTTGAACGAATCAATTCCCGCAAACTCGTCAGGGACATAACGTTTAGCGGCAAATCCAGCTGCGACGACGAAATATTTGGCCTTCGCAGTCCGCCCGTCAGCGGTCTTCACATGCCATCGGCCCTCTTGTGTGTTGAACTGCGCCTCAACGACAACACTCTCGAACGCTGTGTGGCTTTTAATGTCCAATACCTTGTCGCAATGATCAAAGTATGCTCTAAGGTCTTCGTAGGTTGGATAGTTGGAGGGCCACGTCCAGTCTTTGTAGGTCTCTGGGATGGAGAGTTGATACTCGGGAATCTGCCTGAGTTAGTCAGGATTAGTTTGACGTTGCGGAACCCCACCCACCTCAGAGTCGACCATCGCGCCAGGGTAACAATTCCACCTCCAGGTGCCACCCAAGTCGTTGCCAGCCTCGTAGATGACGGTGTTGAAGCCCGCTTTTCGCAACAGGTAAAAGCAAAAGATGCCGCCGAAGCCTCCACCAACAACGAGGGCATCTACTTCGAGATTATCGGCATATGGGCCAGTCTTTGCTCTTCTTCTGGCATATTCCCGAAGCTCTGTCTTGATAGGCATGGTGACTAATGTCCGAATACATAGAACGAACTCGATGCTTTGTGGAAATGATCGATTTCTTAGAGGCCATCAAGGAAATCTGGGGGTTTCAATTTATAGACGAGAGCCTTCCTATTCTCCAGGTTTGACCAAGAGCATCCTTTGCCCCGATGAGCACAACTTACCTTGCGGAATAGACTTAGCCGCGGATCCGCCAAACTTGAAAGCCAGAGTATTGCATCTCTCCGCAATGGCTTACCAAATAATGAGACTGGTGAGGTATCGTAACATGCACCTCATATCCCCCTTCAAGATATTTGCTTCCCTTCCCCAACCCGGGATTGGCCTATTGCACAAGGCGTGCAAGGGACAGGGGGCAGGGATGTCTGGGCCCCTCTTCTAAAACTTCTCCGCTCGAGCTGCGGAACCGACGAATTCCTAGACTTCCACTACTGTGATGCAGATCTACCATTGGGAGTCGGAGCAGACAAAAGTCTCGCTCAAGCGGGAGGTAGACCACGAAGGTCAGCATATCGATTTCGGCAAAGCTAGCCTGAGGTCAGGCACAGATGCTAGTCAAGGGATCAGGATGCCTATAAAATGGGGCCTGACAGGGCCGCATTTGATGGGAATAGGTTCACAGAACAACAAAACGGATTCAACTTAGAAGAAAGAAAGATAAGATGAAGCCGAAGTTAGAAGTCTGGTGATACGAAGCATAGAACCGCGATGTGCACTACAGCCTGCGAGTATTTCTGCTCCACCGTATATTATATCCCAGATTTTTTTCGACCGGCTGCAATGATGAAAACAATCTCCTGTTTGCTTTCTTCCATTTTCGACTTGAAAAGTCCTTCATTGAGAAATTATGAGTCCGAATGTACTCTGAGAGCGCTGAGTGAAACCGGCCCAGTACGAGCCCGCCGCGATCGAGGTCTGCTCTCCTCCATTGATTACAATCCCATAGCTGCCTTACCGATATCACAGTCTATCCACTGTCCAACTCCCGCAAACAGTCTTTCAGGAACGTCGCTGCCAGATACGCCATGTCTGATTTGTTTCCGAGGTTCACAAGCCCTTCAATGCAATACCCACATCTCACCTTTGCCAGATTCACCTCTTCCTCCCAACTCGTCCAGGCGTTGCTGCTCCTCTTTTCCGGTGAATTCAGTTGACTCACAAAGACATAGCCTGCTCGACTGAATGATTGGATGAGCACTACTGTCCATGGTTCCGACAGCAAGGCAACTTGATTCACCGGGTATGTAAACTCGCGTGCTGTTGGGAAAGATAGAGCAGGCCCGTGCAAAGAACACCGACACAGCTCAGATATTGTGATGGCACTGTTGATTCTCATCCCCCATGAGAAATTGGACACTCGGCGCATCTCTCGCTGTGGCAGCTCACTCAAGTTAGCAGCATCCATCTCTTCGACAACGTCCGCGAACAGTATGACTCCTAACTGCCAGTGTCCTGCGAGAACAATGTACCACGATTGAATGCGGGATGGAAGCTCGTGATGTCTCGCCATACATTGGGATATGAATTTCCCGTAAGATCGATTCCAGAATGTAAAGACGCTCAGTGTGTCTTCGATTGCCGCTTCAAGCGCCTCGCTCCTGGCTCTCCTAGACATCAGTTTCTGTATTTGGCCCACCTTTCGAAACAGCAATACTTTGACAGGTGCTGCATCACACAAGATTGCGGCCGCTTCTTCAAGGGTGCAGTGCCATTGATTTGCCGCTAAATTTTCCAATTTCTGGAGATCCTTCGTCTCCAGGAAAAACCTGCCCCAGATATCAGATGAATGGGATTCTTTCGGTGTGCCTTCACGTCCAATCCCAGGATCCCAGCCATCTAAATCAATGCCCATCGAAGTTTGGGCTGCGACTCCGTCAGTCGAACTGTAGGTGGAAGATCGGCGTGTTCTCTCCCATGGGTCCGAGGTCTCAATGCTGCTGTCCTCGTCCGATACCACAAGTGGTCGTTGGAGCATTGTTGACGAAATTGTATCGAACATTATAGCCAACCAGGACAGGAGTTTGAAGGTCTCCTGGTGTTCTTGACTAGGAATCGCACCTTCCAAGGGCTTGCGCTCTGATTCCGATAGTTTTCCAAGCCTCGGAGATGTCGCTTGTTTCTCAAGCTGTCGACCGTATTGCTCCCACTTCCAACGAGAAGACAATATCTGCCTTGAAGCAGCCTCGAGAAATATTGGAGGCCCATCTGCATTGATGATTTCTTGGAGAGCCTCCCATTTCGCATCGAGGCTATTATCCAATGAATTCGGCTTGCCCTCAGCAGATGAAATTGACATTTCTGGCTCCATCCCTCGAGCTGTATTTCGCTTCTGGTTGCGTCGTGTCCAGTTTGTACTCTGACGCCAATCGTCAATGTTGAGTGGCCGTTGAGTCAAAGAAAAGATAATATTGGCAAATGCAAGTCTGTAGGATTGGATACCAGCAGCCTCCTGCAAGGCCTGGCGAGCTTGATTCCACAGCGTCTCCTGCACCGATCTTCCAAACTCGTCGGCGGCTGGGAGATTCATCTCTCCCGGGACACTGGACATGGAGGCAAAGAATGGGGAATGATCTCGAATCTTGCCTCTCTCGCCCGATTGCGCCCATTGTACTCCGAAAGCCATCACAGCCGCGTTAAGGGCCTTCCCCGCCAACAAACTTTCTGTTTTCGTCAGTCCTTTCCCAGGGAGACTGCTGGAAAACTGATCGAGACTGCACACTCTTTTATATATCCGATTCGACCATTGTGGTCCCCAAACGCCGGGAAGGACTCCTGAGAAATTGGAGTTCGTCTGCGGATAATCGACTCTGATAGTGCCACGCGGGAGAGTGTACGGGCAATTCCTCTCCGTTAACCAGCACGAAAGGGCATTTTCCATGCTGTCATGGTATACTCGCAGCCAGTTCTGGGTCAACAACCAACGATTGACAGCCAAAGCTGGGCCATTAGATGAAACTAAAGACGACGAAAGACCGTCGTCGGAAGTTTTTGAAGTCGGGACGCTTTCTGACAATGTCCATGGCAAAGAGGAACCCATTTCGGATTCCCACACTCCAGTGTATGCAGAGCTTTGGTCGGTGTCCATTTGGGCAATTTCCTCTGGATCTGTCTCGACTCGACTTTGTTCTTGGAAACTATCCACAGAAGGTCGAAACGGAAGGTTATTTGTGCTCCCACGACTTTCGGAGAGCACGTTTCCCATACCTGACACATGAGGTTGCCAATTAGATGATTGGTTTGTCGCGAAAGCACCCCTGGTGAAATCATCCTCCTGGTGGATAGAAGTCAAAAGATCTTCCTCGAAAGCAAGTTCTGGCGTTTCCCCAATGTTGAACAATCCTCGATTTACTGGATCAATATCGAAATTGATCTTGTCGAGGTCTGAGAATGACCGATCAGAAGTGCTCCCTTGGGTTGGCGAGTTTGTCGATGGCTGGGAGGTAACACGAAAGGATGATTGTCTGGACACGTCGACATGGCCAAAATGTTGAGTCCGCTTCTTATTGGCCTTGATCGTCTTGGGCAATGCAAGTTCGAGCCATTCGAACGTGCATTCTCTTCCATTCCTCTGACAGTTGGAACATTTTGCTGCCGGAATACGCGAATTAGCATGGCGGACGGTTGATCTCCCCGTTGAGGCAGGAAAACTGCTGCCGTCTGCATCGGTGTGCTCTGCTCTGATAGCAGCGTCGCACGCTCGTTTCGCTTTTCTGCATTGATCGCAGCTGCTGTTTTGGCGGCGCCGAACCCTCTTCACAACAATTGACCGCTGCTCCATCCTTGGTGACTCTGAAGCTGAAGAGAATGTGAACTACATCGTCTCTCTTTCCTTGGATCTCAACAAAATTGCGAAGTGCCAATCCAGGCTTGGTCATCTCAGCATGCAGCAACATTCGTCCGTTTCTTTCGCCCCGTTTCCGACCCCCGCAATAAGCAAAAACGCGGGGAAGAGGACCATCTACGATCCTTAGCCCCCTGTCTAAACGACCCGTCACTCTCAAATTTTGCTCTAGGTGCAATAGACGGTCCGACCAATGCTCGGAGAAGAGGGTTCCCCGGACCTGACGGTACAAAACGGCCCCGTCATCTTGGTACTAGTCGATCGGGAGACACCGGCGAAGGCAGATAGCATCATGTCTGAACGTGGAGACCCTGTCATAAGGCCTGACGACGAAATATTGATTATACAGTACACTTGAGCCGATCTATCTGGCATTGCATCCGGAAGATCAAGTCCAAGCATACCAAGATTGACTGCAACAAACTTAGGAGTCTTTGGTCTCCGCGCTGATTTCGCAAATTCAATGGCAGACATGACTGCTCCCCATCTCGAACAAAAGCAAAAGAACTGATACATTTACTCTGTCTCAGAGAAGAAAACCTTGAATCGAAGTGTCCCTTATGTACCGAGATCTCTAGAGACATTCAAGTCTCTAAATTGAGCCTTGAAGTTACGCAGCTCTCGATTTCTTTCCGATCGGTTCTCAAAAGTTCATTCCATGATTAAAAGCAGCAATCACTACTTCAGGCATGCTTCAACAGTCATGTCGTCTATGTGTCTGAGGTATACAAGCTTTCTAATGCCTTAACTTTTGGTCGATCTTGTTGGTATCATCGTCGACATTAGAGCGGCTCAAGGAAAACCCATAGACAGGGCCGGGATAGCATGTTTTTAACCTTCGTCCCAGTCCTTCCCTATCAGCGCTTCCGACATTATACGAGGTCAACCCCTATTTTACGTCCCAGGACGGATTCTTGTCTGTGTCTTCCGACGGGAAATTCCTCGTAGAAAATTTAACCTGGTAGGACGGGATCCCATGTTGCAGCCTTGGCCTTGACCCCTGCCTTCACAACTGATTCGAAAAGCCTTCCATACTACTGCGTCGAGAAAGATTTTTATTTCAGCCCTATCGCGATGGGAAATTGACATTTCTGCGGAAACCTCCTGCTCACAGGCGCCGATCTTTCATGCTGAAAGTCGCGCGTCATCAACTCAAACTTATTGGACATGGGATTTCTGAGTCAAGCAATACGAGAAATGGCGGTGAGGGCCTTATGCTGAAAATACGAGAAAGAGGTCGGAATCAAGTTCTGGACTCGGGAGGAAAGTCTCTGCGACGAAAGCTTTTCTCGAGCACCAATTCTGCACGACATCAATTCACAACGTCTTTTGCCCAGACAACAACGGAACACTGTGATTCGGCCTATACTCGATACCCAAAATGCGGCACGGCGTCCTTTCGACCATTTTATTCTCGGCAAGGATCATTTAGCTCGAGGTCTCATCCCCTTGCTCTATTGTGTTGCCCGGTTGGGATAATGGTCATATCCGATATCCTGCCGACCGCAATTCGCCACAGACTTGGAAAAATATCGATCTCTATTGCCCGCAGAAGGCAAAGCATCAGTGAAAATTGTTTTAGTTTTTTTTTTTCTTTTTGGAAGAGAAAAGACATCAACACATCATCAGGATACGAAGTCAGAGAGAACACTAGAAAATGTACCGCTGTACGTCAAATGTAATGGACTTTGCAAAGCAGCTCACCAAAACTCTGGACTATAGGAACAATCCATTGAGAGATCCTCGCTTTACCCTGCATGACATGACTGGTTCACCAAGAATACAGCCAGCCACTAGGAACGCAGTATCGACACTTTCACTGATCCGCGCTGTATATGCAGCACTGGAAGACCGTCGGTAAGAGGAGCCCGGCTTTAACATGCGTTTTCCCCACGTCGGCTCGACAGGCTCTGCAGTCCTACATTCCCACTATGCCGCCCGGCTCTGCAAAGGCATCTGGGCAAACTTCCAAATGAGACTGCCAAAACTATGCATGCTATATACAGGTGGCAAATATGGTCTCTCTTCAGCTCATGGAGAGCAGTCCACTCACTCTCACCATAATTGTCACCCAACTTGGCTCTTTTCCCGCCCTGCAGGCACGAGTGGCCTCGCGCAATCTGCCCAGATTGTATGTGAATTGGCTCACCAACATTTGGGCTTTTGTTCAACTGTTCCTTCTCGACAAGACCTTGTATACGGACGGGATTCCAAATACCCTGTCTTCCGGGATCCCCCGGCGTCTGACAGAGCTCTATCGAGACCAAAATCCAGGATAGCTGACATGGTTGTGGCGAGTAAGCTCCCTGTCCAAACCATTAGCGAATTCCTGATGTGGCCTCAGGTCGGTCTTTCCCTCCAGATTGAACTAGCCTAGAATTGCACCTGAACTCCAAGCATGGGTCTGCTCTATCTCTTCCCAACAAGCAAAGATGCTTTGTCGATCAAAGTTCACAATTTCTCTACTTATCATACAATAACCCTAGTGCAGGTCAAAGTTCAGGCCCAGCAATCCGCGTGTGTAAGAGAAGTTCATCCATTGGTATGTGACTGGACACGATACTGGTCCTTGTAGATCATGTTCATAGCATGGGACCAAAGACGGTAAGAGCTACAATAGCTGCCTAAGACCGTGGTCTTGAGAGGGCAATATGACCAGAACTTACATAGTTACACAGACATCCTCTTCGACAACATGCTGCTGACTATGCAAGGAAACGTGGAATACCTAAATTGCCTGGAATACTCTCACCCAATCGCCGATGGGGACCCAGCATCGCCATACAAAACCAAGCCTGATCCCGTGGGTCTCCCTTTGGGGGTGGTCTCTCCCTTGCTACCTAACCTACCCTTTTGTCAGTCCTCTCTATTGAAGGATTGGGGGACTGCTTAACTAAGCGCACAGGCTCCAGGCAAAAATGACCAGGTCAGGAGTGCCTATTCCTTCCTCCTAAATCTGATAGCCTCACCCTGTTGGCGATGAAGGGGAGAGGACTTTTCCGAATAGGTTCCCCCGGCCATGAGCTCATAGATATCACTTCCAGGTGTATTTTCCGTAACAGATCACTCTCCCTAGGTTAAGAATGTGGAGACAAACTCCGTCTTTCAGTCTGCGATTCCTATCCAAGTCATCGTAACTGCTTGACCTCCCTACCTCATACCTTCGGGCTTGCTAGAGAGGCTGGGGAGTTCAACTGATCAACCTATTAGCTACCAAATACCTTCCATTCTTCAGCTTGACCTGGCCATAAACGAGGGAGGCAGCATCGACCTGAGGCCGGGTGCATGGCTGAGGAATAGAACAATCAAAGCATGTTCTACACTCCTCTTCTCCTTCCTCTAGAGGCTTTTTCACTCAACGGTGTGCCTTCCAATTCGACCAAGAGCAGAGTCATTGGCTACAATACTCCTGAGAAGTTCGGCAGACGATAACCAATCGCTCTAGCCCAAACTTGCACATGGTCCTCAAAGATTCGACCCAGGCGAAGACGTGTGGATAGAAGAGTCGAGGCAAGAGGGATGAGGGAATGCAATACAAATCAGGCGTCTCGGTCGGCCTATCTGGAACCCATCGTCTGTAATCTGATATCTACAGGCAGTGACAGACGAAACATTAACCACAGCCGTCAGTTATCGCAATCCATCTATCCATCGACCCGCAAGCTCAGACATAGGAAGGAGGAGGCAATTGTACGCGGGGAGTGAAAGAAGGGAGGGGGGGAAAACATACAACTGCAACTACAACCACAATTACGGGAGACCAGGAGCGCGCATAGTACGGTAAATCCAGTTCTAGCCCTTTGGTGCCTTGACTTGGCTGCCGTAAGTCGTAACTGGACGCTGTGATTGTGGTGCTGGTGCTGCTAGTGAGTAGGGACCGGGGTCCATCCTGGTCACCATTCCCGCTCACGAAAGAAATTCTCCATCAAACCCTCCGCCTCAAGGCCCAGTACAATCCCAATAGAAAGCAGACCGGGTCTGATCACGGAGGGTATGTGGTACAGCAACTCACTCTGCAACTTGAAGTTGGATTCCCATGGGAGATGAGTCCGACTTTGGCCTCATCGATCACCAAAACGCCATCACCGATGCCATCAAAGTCTCTACTCCATACCACGCACTTTCTTTGCCTTGAATACCATATGCTTTTTGGGGGGGTTGTGACTTCACGAGATCTCGACTATTCCATCTGCCGGTTTTGCCCTTTCTTCCGGACAAAGCAAGAAGCTATCTAGTCTTGACCGCTGATTCAGCGGGATCAAGCAAGCTCCAATTTCGCACAATCTCTCCGTGGCTGAATCGGAATCTTGCGCCTCCATGAAATTCACCACTCCCTGAATTGACCCATGACCATTCTGAATATCACAACTTTTCCAGGTTGGGAAGGAAAAAAAAGAAAAGGATTTGTTGGTAACCATAGCCGTGACAAGTTTCGATGTGTCTCAGGTTGGCTCTGTGTACTGAGAGACCTCCAAACAAATTCGTAAAAGTACAATTTGGAAGTCGTCGAACAGTACCCATTCATCGAGGATGGATGTCGAGATTGCCGTCGAATTGAAAGAAATTGGTCCGTCGTCAACGAAAGAAAGGTTTTTGATGTGCCCTTCATCTGAAGTAGATGCTCACATCATCTGGTCTTGAGTCATGCCTCCGGTAGTCTCCTGTCCTTCCATGGCTTCACCGCCGTTGGCATTGGTATATTTGACGTAAGTCAATCCAAGAGGCCGGCCGCCGTACACGTAGCCCGTGAATTTTGCTATTAGGAAACAAAGGTTAGCTGGGCGATTGGTGAGAAAAAGCAGAAAAGAGACTCACAAATGGCAGTCTCAGCATTTTCAGCAGTGTCAAACTCGACCACGCCAGTTCCTCGAGATCGTCCATTCGGCTCATATTGGATTTCTGCACGTTCGACTTTGCCAATGGTGGTGAAGAGTTCAACCAAGTCCTCGTTGCTGGTCGACCATGGAAGCTGGAGGGTTGTTAGTTTGAGCTTGGATTAGATTGAGAAGACACCCACATTTCGGACATAGATAGTCTGGCTTCTCTCCCCTCCAGAGGTTGCAAAATCGGTGAAGGGGTTGGGAGCGACTTGTTCTTGAGCACCACCATAGCCACCTCCTCCGTAGCCACCTCCATATCCGCCCCGAGAATAACCACCACCAAAGCCTCCACGAGCACCGAAACCACCTCCTCTAGGGCCACCATAGCCACCGCGCATGCCGTATCCTCCCTGGAAACCTCCTCGTCCTCCGTAGCCCATGCCACCGGTGCTGCCTGCGTATCGATCTTCTCGAACTTCGAGCGCGCGACCATGCCAATCGTAACCGTTGAATTGTGCAATGGCATTGCGAGCGTCGTTGGCAGATTCGAATGCGACGATGCCCGTGCCTTTTGGTCGACCGGTAGGATCCATATGGACATCAGCTCGAATAACACCGCCTTCCTGTGCTGCGAGCTGTGAGATTTTTCTGTCACTAGACCATCGAGAATGGAGAACGTACCGGCCTGGCGGAACAAATCCTTTAGATCCTGCCATCCGACATTGAATGGGAGCTGTGAAAACATCAATGTCAACAAATCCTTCATCAAAGCTTGGTCAATCACAGGACGGAGAAACAAACATTGGAGACGTAAAGTTGTCGGCTGCCACCGCCACCGCCACCAACACCACCCCCCATGGCATAGCCTCCACCGTAACCGCCTCTTGGGCCGCTTCCAAAGTCACCGCGGCTGGGTGGACCGGTAAATCGTGGTTCGGTTTCGCGGTCCTGGTCGATAAATGTCTCTGTCAACAAACATCATCCCAAAAATTTATGAGGAATCAAGACCTGCGTACCTCTCGGACATAGACAAGACGGCCCATAAGACTCTGATTGCTGAGTGTTTGAATGGCTTGTTGGGCTTGTTCCCTAGTTGCGTATTCCACAATCCTACACATGTTAGGAAACCGTGGGCCAAAAACGTCAGAAAAATGGAACTCACCCGCATCCCTACATAAACCCGTGGACCAGGTCCAACCCGTCAATCCAACGTCCAACAAGAAATAACCAAAAAAAGGAAGACCAGTAGAACCAGCCGCATCACACAATGGCGCCCACCTTCGACATTCCATTCGGAAGAAGTAAGACATCGGCAAAGAGAACTTCTCCAGCTAGATGAGGGATCAGCAAGCGGTCAAGGATTTTGAAATGTAAAGCAAATAAAACGAACCCTGTCTCATGAAATCTTTAAGATGGTGCCATTTGACATCGTAGGCCAAGTTTCCAACATAGACCCGACGATCTTGTTGAGAAGCCTCTCGTACCGACTGCATCATTTGTTCTTTAGCGGCAGCTCGATCTTCGAATGACCTCGGTGGTCCTCCACCTCTACCAGCGTAGCCTGGCCCTGAGTATCCTCCAGATGCGTTCGGTGCACCGCTCATGGGACTTCGAGATCGACGATCACTTCGGCGATAGTCGTCGCCTCGACTGCGAGAGCGGCTACGGGGTGAGTAGGAGCGTCGACTTCGTCGTGGACTGCGCGATCGGCGACGGGGGGAACGAGATCGGTCTCTCTGTAAGTGGTCAGAAAAGGGTCTCGCGAAAGCGATCATGACGGTGCGATGGGCGCAAATTGAGGGTGAAATTTAAAGATCGCGCAGGTTAAGACATGACTGTGGAGCATGTGAAAGATAAAGATCGACTGATTGTCCGGCATAAAATGAGAAAGTGAAATCCGCCTTTCTGTTTTATGTGTTGCAGTGAAGGGCATAAGGCAGAAGTGGACCCAGGCCAGGTGGAAATCGATGCTCGAAAGTCAGGTATTTCTCGTCACTCTTCATTTTGACCATGACCGCCTCGATCTGTGCCCGGAACAAAGAATCGTGTAACTTACTGCACGGTCACCAGGTTAGCCAACAAATTGATTCAGCCAGAAAGATCAGAGGAAAGAGACGGAGAAGATGATGTGGACAGGGTTGAATTTGATGCAACAGGAATGGGAACTGGCAACGCGTAGGGCAGTACAGAGTAAGGACGGGCCAAGCTGGTGAGAGAGCAGATCCGACGGAGGACAGGCTAGACTGGGGCACAGAAAAATTGATGAAGAGAGACACACCCATGATTATCGATTGCCGAGAGCTCGTGCGGCTGGTTTCAACTGTTGACTCTACAAGATCAGGATCGCATGCACGAAAATGCAGGAGGGGAGGGGGGAGGAGGCCAGCTAACAAGGTTTCCCGAGTGGTACAAGGGGCTGTCCGGAGTGATCGCAAAACGCGGGTTGCTCAATTCGTATGAGTGGAGCGAGTTCTCAGGGCCTCAAAATGGTCGGAGGCAAAGAAGGTCAGGATTCTGTCGCAGGGCACAATCTGACAGAGCCTCAGCGGCGCGTCTTCAAGCCCGATTTTCGCACAGAAAAAAATGTCTGGCTGCTGCCCGTATGGTCGGATAAAATTTTCTCTCGCAGAAATGAAGGCGGGGCCCGAGCGAAAGCAAGTTAGAGCGAAGTCGAGTGGAGACTAGGTATGGCAGGCTTGACGTTGTACGTAGGGCCGATGTTTATTGGAGAGACGGACTTTGATAATAGTGGTAATGGAGGGAGGAGAAGGGTTTGATGTTGTTTGTTTTCGGCCAGTGTGATGCTGAAATTGGAAACCTGTATGGTCCACAAGTCAGTCAGCAACGTCAGCCCTCAAGAGTTTTTCCTCTGCGCGGATCCATATGGCCCTCTTCAATATGGCAAGCCAGGGATGTTTTGGATTCTGTCTAAGCGGCTCTATTTTGCCTATTCACAATTTTTTGCAGGGTATGTGACCAACCAGGAAGGCCGAAGCTTCAGTCCAATGGGCTAGGGCTTTTTTGTTTGCAGCAATGCCTAACGGGGATTTGCAAAAGAAAAAGGATAGCGCAAGGGTCGGAAGGTATGGAGGCGATCGAGTCAGCAGCGAACCGGGCACACAGGGCAGTGTTTTAGGGCCTGAGGACCAGAGTTCTCGCGTGGCCGGGGTGCCAGTGGATGGATGGAGGAGGGACGGAGGGAGTTGGATGAGCAGCGTTGGGCAACGGTTGGTCGGATAGCGAGGTGCTAGATGTTCGGATGAGAATGTTTTGGAGTGCAGCTGCGGCTATAACGCAGGATGGAGGACGATGCAGGTTTTGTCGCGGGTAAAAGCCAGACTGAGCGCAGTACGATGCAGCCTGAGAAGTGTGACGGAGGATGGGAAAAGCTGAGGGACGTCGTCTGAGTGGGTGTTGGCCTTGGCGCTAGCGAAATCTTGACTGCGCCCTCACAACTAGCACGTTGACGACCATCGTGCTAGCAGTTCTTCAGTAGAGCACCCTGTCGATGTCTCTTCTTTCTGTCAACTCAGCCATTCCGTGTCTTGTCTTCACATTGCACCACGCTGCCAGGTGAGAGCAGAGCAGAACACAGCAAGACATGCCACGACAACAACGACGGCACCGCGCAGCACAGCAAAAAAGCACAGCAGTTCGCAGATCCCGCCAGGCCAATTCCCACCCTTGTCTCTTGTGTTGAATACCCCATCCCAGCACACTGCAAGCTTGCCCTCTGCACTATCTCTCACTGGGGTCCACTCTCCGCTGCGCTCTGCCCCCTAGTACAAGATTCTCTCGGGTGGCATCCTCGAAACACCCCCAGAATGTGCATCTTATAGTAGCAGCGCACCACCTTACACTTGCGCAATATCACCGCGCCAGGGGCTTCCTCCCGCATCCGAACAAATGCCATGTTCTAGGGACTTAGTTTCGCGCGCTTCCGGCCGACGCTCGCATATCCGACCACGCCCACCATCTTCCTCTGAACATCCACCTCTGGCTTAGGTGATCATGGGCACGGGGCAGGTACCACTTGCTCAGATGCAGCTACGGCTAGGGCTACGTTCGATGCGATTGCAAATGGAAAAAGGTAATCTAAACAATGTAGATCAGTCGAAAAAAGATCCTACCTCTTTCCACATGATCTAGGGGCAGGAGAGCTCGAGACAACTCTGCTGCATTGGTGTGGTGTTGTGTTGTATGTGTTGTTTATTTAATTTGGCATTGCCAGTAGTAGTTCGCTTGTAACAAAGAGTGTGACGTGCTCTCCAATCAATTGTACTTGTAACAAACCCTCCAATGAGCTTCAAACCCATGGAGTGCGTTTTTACTCTTTCCTCCTCTCAACTATCAGGCATTCCTTGTCCAAGGGAAGTCGGCACCGGTGGCCTAAGTCAATTGACATGAAAAGACAAGGATTTGGGCGACTAGTGACGACTAAGTTGGCATTGTGGTGGCGCAAATGGAGCCCTACAAGCCCGTGCCGTAGCCCGCCATGTACCGATTTTGACAAGTTAGCAGGAAACTAGGAGTCGTATCGGGTGTACTTTGCACCCATCTTTGATGGCGGAGGGCATATCGAGTGCCTGGGAATTAATCATCGAAGCAATGGATGCCCCGCCACGGCGGCTGCGGGCTAGATGGGAAAAAAGTCTCTAGTCACACATGTCGCAAAGACCCAAGCACGTTTTAGTGAGCTTTTTCAGGTGGGCTCCACGCAAGCCACAGTGGCGAGAGAAAAGAAAGACCGTCGAGAAATGCCCAGGCCGAATCGGCGCACAGCAGAAGCGCGGAACAAGAGACTTGGAAGGATTCGATGATGGGCCGATGGATCAGCGCCAACGATCCACCGGACCAAAGCATCCCCGACCCCCCTCAACAACCATCTTTCGACTTCGCTCTTAAGGGCTGCTCGGCACAAAGGAGAGAAGAAGGCATCTATCTGGGCATCCATTTAAATGATTCTGATCTCTACCGTCCTCGACTGGACGAACCATATATCAATCACGTGGGGATGATCTCCTCGCAGCTTCTACCGCGTTCCTTTGTCATCAGGCACCATGTCTGCTCCGCCCTGAATTCCTGGAATAGGGGCTAATCGCTGTTCTCTGGCTGATGTGATCGACCTCGATAAGACACAGGTACATGTGCATTGTAACATCACCGTCCGGTAGGAATTCATTTGGCATATTCTTGACCGAGCAATGCATCGTGGCACAGCTCCCTGTCCTATCCCGATGGCCCTCTACCTCGGCAAAATGGAAAATCTGCCACTAAGCGGCGTGACGGTGTGGATTTTCCCCCCTGCATTAAAACATCCCAAATCATCAAGACAGGCTAATTGGAGCTGCGGGATGAATGTGGAAGCTTTGTACTGTTTCATCTTCTAGCTGTGTTGGTGATGCTCCGATACAGCTGCGTGAACTACGCACAGCCCGGAGCAGTTCCCAAAAGCGGAGCATGGGACGAGGGATCGCCTTTACAGTTTGTTCTTCTTTGCCCGTGCGTAGCAGTAGTTCGCGACATCAGGAACTGCGTCACAGTCAAGAAATCCTTGTTACACACTTCGTAGTCGCGGCCGGCTCCACTCCTTTTGCTTCAGTTTCCGCCAAGAATCGGTAAGGCTGAAGGGCCAAAACGTAAAAGGCGGCGGGCAGCTCAGGCCCGTGGCCATCGGTGTCTGGCTTCAAGCATCAAGCCACCCAAGCTAGCCTCACCTTCCCGTCGCAAAATGTTGTGCAGCCCCAATCTGCCGGACTACCAGACCATCGTAGATCGTCTACTTTGGCCTCTCTGATCCTCTTTTTCAATGCACATCATATCACTCGCATCGCTTGTTACCCTAACTTCTGCCATCTGGCTGACAAGTCCCCATAAGCACCACCGTTGCAAACTCTGGAACCTTCAAGCAGCAAATCGCGTCACATCCTCGCATGCCCTCCATGGTGGTCCCCAAAGCTTTTCGCTCAGCCTCAGCCGCCAATTGCCGCGTCCAGATCTCTGCCTTACAGCGTAGGCGGTCCTACTTCTCCATTCACCATCCCGATCCTCCTCCATTCCTCGAACCTCAAGATCGAATCCTTTCCGCTGCCATCTCCCACGTGCCGAATCACGGTTTCACAGACGAAGCGCTGGCTTTGGGTGCGAAAGATGCAGGATACCTGGATGTCACCGCCCAGCTCTTCCCCCGTGGGGTGTTTGACCTCATCCATTATCATCTCGTAACGCAAAGACTTGCGCTGAAGAACAATGTACAATTCCCACCCGGTGTCAATCTTGGCTTGGGGGCCAAGGTCAGAACATTGACGATGGCACGGTTGAGAGCAAACGCAGGCATCATACACCAATGGCAAGGGGTACGCTTAACATTGTATTTTCTTGACAAGAGCTACACTAACCATGCTATGTGAAGGCGCTCAGCTATATGTCTCTCCTCGGAAACATTCCAGCTTCGCTGAAAGAACTCAACGCCCTTTCTGACGAAATCTGGTACCTTGCCGGCGATGGTGCTGTCGATTTCTCCTGGTATACGAAACGAGCGTCTCTTGCGGCCGTCTATGCAAGCTCGGAAATGTTCATGACGACCGATACTTCCAGAGATTTTGCCCTGACGGAGGAATTTCTCGATCGCCGACTGAAAGATGTACAAAACGTGGGCAGGACTCTAGGAGGTGTCTCACAGTACATCGGCTTTTGGGCCGGTAACAGCGTCAACTTGGCCAGGTCTTGGGGAATGAAGATATAAAATGTCTCCACCCTATCCTACAAATTGTGGAATACATGATCTCGACAATTTTTCTCGAGAAACCTGCCAGGCCCCAAAAAGCCCCGAGGCTTAGATTGTGTCCGCCAATACACCCAGTATTTCTGGGTATCTTCTCTGAACAACGACGCATGATGCTACCAAAGCAATATGGCTTCCAAACTGGCCCGAAACGGTCGAAATCGAGTCCTAAAAACCGACGCAACATCGGCAGTGGCGTCATGAGCTGACCCCCAAGATGACAATCTCAGAACTTCGATCATGACCGGGCCAAATCAACTGGATATCGCAACAGCACACCCCACATTACGCGAACCGATTGAATCGAGATCGGCATGCTCTTGACCAGATCACAACTACACACGAGCCAGACCAATCTTCGATCCCCAAAACAGAAGATGGATCCAACGTCAGCACCAGGCCCAAGAGGCGAACGAATCCAGGACCCTAGACAAGATCGGCCCGGTGCTGAAATCGAACTCAACGAGGGCGCCTGGCTCGGCTGGTGAGAAAGTCAGAAAGTCAACTTGATGTATAAGAGAGAGAGAGAGATCTCTTTGGGTGGCGAATTGGGTATTCCGCTCATACCGTTTTTACTTAGCTGGCTTTTCTTCCATTTCGTTGCCTAATACGTATATTTTCATGACCTACTTAAATGTATATTCTGGATCTCCAGACCGTTCAGAAGTATCCAGTGAATGTGGTTTTCATTAATCAAGTGTGGAAAATGTTTTGATTGGATGAATTGTTGCGATGGAGAGAATTGGAAATCCTCAAATCGAAAGAGAGGCCCTTCAGTGATTCAGGATAGAGTTGAAAGACCGAAGAAGAGGAGGGGAAGGAGTCTCTGAATCAGATCTCCTCCCACCGCCATATGTCCATAAACACAGTGTAATGATGCGAATTCTATGAAAACCATGGTGTTTCTACAGCTTCAGGTTACTTCCACTTCCGAACAAAGGGATCGTCTGTGTTGGCAGGGGCCGAGAAGACAATTCGTTGACCGCAAGCGCCGCAAAGCCGCGGCTTGCCATCCTCCAATTGAGACAACTTTTGTCAAAGTAGCGCTTGTCTGCACGCAACTTTCATGCCTTCAAAAGGAGAGGATCGCATTTCGGTGTCTTACCGTTAGTTTCCCAATGGTTCTCCTCTACTTCCTCGATGGTTAGCCGTTACGTCGCTAGATGCTTCGCGACTACTTACGCTCGGTTTACACACTAATCTACTGTATCTTCGCTTGCATCTTCGCTTTGTCGCACTCGAATGGGGGTGTCGTACCTTGAGCACGTTGAATCCCAGTCTGAACCGATCTATAGAGACCCATTGCCGATGCTAGAGACCTCGTCGTCATAGATTTGTCGACGTGATAAGTACGGTGTTGCCACCTTGGAATGGGTAGTCGCATCTAGGAATGCATAAATTTTCCAACCAATCAGAGTAAGCCATTTGCGGAGTTGCTTGGTCTGCACTGTATGTTGTCACGGCGTGTATGAGGTCCGTCGGATATGACCACGGGTTGTATTACGGAGAAATGTTTAACAACTTCATTGCACAAAAGGATGAACAGGACAAACATAAACTGGTCTAGCCACAAGCTGTGCGGGTTCCCCAGGGAACGAATTGTTGGCAGTCCACATTGGGACTAGCATAGTCACGTGCATTGCAGCCTTCGTGGCCTTTTTGTAGCTTGTATCTCTCTCAGATAGATTCAATCAATCAATCTCCTCTCGGTCCTATACGAATGTCTGATACAAGAAGTTCCGTCATCTTTGTTCGGGCCATCTTGAGTTCTTACAAGATATAGCTCAAGGAACAAGAAGGGAGTATTCAGGCCAATCAAGGAGGACCAGCTCCATGCATCCATATTGCCAAAGTAGTAACGGGAAGCATGAGAACGGATGGCAAACCTATAAGTTTCTTTGAAGCGACCGCACCGAGAATAAGGCTGCTTCATATCATTGTCCATCAAAGGCATGGATATTGTCACCCCCCCAAAAATCATCGAGGCTAGTCAACAAATGTCCAGGTCGAAGTGTGGAGAAGTCCAAGGATGGCACTCCTCAGTTCTCCTGTAATTCGATAGGTTCGTTTGAACGGCGGCCCAAAGATGACCCAGATGCCTTCTACGAGCAAAAAACAATCATAACGATATCCTTGTTGAAGGTTGAACGCTCGTACCAAAATCTTCCTGTAGCAGAACGAGCAGGCGGCCTCGAAAGTGACTTCTTTTTGGGTCATTGGTCGGTGAAGAGGCTCCTCGAAAGACCTCTTCGAATGTATTACGACGAACTGCGATTGGCTGATCGAAATGCTCGCCTGGCCATAGATTGTGACATAGTATCCTTCAACCTCTCCTCAACTGAGGGGACCACCTTGCGACGGTCGAAGATGACATCCTCTCTGCGAGATCGATCGGTCGAAGCTCTTTATAGGTGCAGAGAGAACTATCGCGGGCACCGAAAAGCATGTCGACGGAGACTGTGGCCTTTGCCCTCGGGTCTATTCCATCCATCAATAGGCAAAGCAAAACTGCGATCATGCCAAACATATCTTCATCTTTGTTCCAGCCTGTGCGAGGTAAACCGTAGCCAGGACGACAGGATGCGAGGAAAGTAGTTGTTGCCGCGTTCCACATTGGAAGCGGTGTTTCTCAATCGATCCGCTCTGGTCATTGACAGAAAGGGACCACTATCACCCAAGGTCGTGATGCGAGGACAGATAGCTTGGAGAGAGGTACGACAGAATTTGCGCTTCCACCTAAAAAGTACAACTCGACTTCCCAGAGTTGAAAAGTGCGCGAATACATGGAGAATCTGTATCCCACCGTCCAGATAAATCGACATCGATCCCTGCCAATTTAGAACCTCGCTGTAAGGTACTGCTAACCGCCTCTGCTGAAAGATTTATGTGGCCTTTCAAAGTGGTTATCATGAGGTTGTCCAAAACCGTCCGACCATGGTTATGGACTTTCAACGTTCGCAAATTTGGGAGCTTTCCACAAAGAAGACTCGGGGCGTTGCTATTCACAGAGTCGTCCATCCAAATAGCTGGACCAGGTTGAATTTGTCGGCCCGGGAAGACACATTCCAACTGAGAAATCTGTTGTCCGTTAGAAGAGTCATCATCATGATGAAGCCATAGCAGAACGGAACATATCGCTACCAAAGTGTGAAAGTATCCGAAGATCTGAGGCTGCTGCTGAGCAAGACGAAATGAATGCACCGAAATAGAATGTTCCTCTGCAGTTTCTTGCCATCAACCTTCCTGCTATCCATCAGTGCTGTGGTGGATTTCCCTGCTTCTACTCTTTTCTCGAGCCTGTTGCAGGATGAGATCCTTGGTTTGGGATGAGATGTTCTTCGACCATCCCTATTGCTCGAAGTGATACGAATGGGATGGCTCGCTATTTCCAGTCAGTCTCGAAAAGCGCATGGATTGGCAACCCATCTTGGGGGTGACTGACTTGTCATCAGATACATATTGCTCCTTCATGATTTTTGCAACTTCCTCGACCTCGTGAGTATAGCATAAAGGCATGACGATATCTTTAAGGTAAGCCATCTCTTGTCACGCAGATTACTAACCGACCAAGGGGGAGTGTTGACTGGAATCCCTGTGGTAGCGCTCCCATATTCGTAAGTGTATCCATCGGGATATCAAGCTATAAAATGGCTTAGCAAGTTCAGACGGAGGGGGGTGGCAGGAAGCACGGGAAGCGTAGGGACGCAGGTGGATCTGAGAGATTAGCAGCGAGCAGGATTTAGTGATAAAAAGCCATCAAACCTGAGGGAGAACGCAGGGAGGCTGAGACAAGGAAAGAAGACAGATGCGGAAGCCAAATGCAAAAATGTGAGAAAGGCTGGGCGATGTATTTAATGGGCGCGAAGACTGGCACCGAGGCCACAGGATCACCGGGGAATCGAATGACACGGAGGCAGAGGGCAGACCCACAGCTATACGAAGAGATGTAGATTTGACTGTCGTTGTTTCAACGTCTCCCGTGACAGCGAGGCTTCACTGGCAGGCTGGCCAGGACTACGACAAAGCTCTACCGGATGTATTTTGCTGCTGTTAGCCCTGCTCAGTCTTGCGAGTGGTGGAAAGCCAGCATCCCTCGGGAATAAACCTGTTCAAGAAGACTTTTTGCTTAGTGCTTTGTATACAAAATTGTCGCGGAGTATCTTTCCAAGCATTGAGAGGACCTCGTCGACTACGCCGCCGATGGTCCCCTCTCGGCTACATAAGCATTGGCTCGGCTCCGCCTCTAGAGGGTTGGGGAGGAGTTGACTCTTGACATCGCTGGTTGTAGCTAACGAGGCCTTCGAATATTAGTAGAAGCGAGACAGATCTCGTTACAACAGATAGTCGATTAATGCTTTTCTATGTAAGACGTCATAATGATACAGGGCTTTAAAGCTCATCTAGCAACGCAAGTGACAAAATTCTTTGAAGCCCGAGTGAGCGATGAGAGAGTCTTTTCTCCAGTAAAAGACTCCCGCATAATCCGTATCAAATCTCCTCTTCCGATTCTTCTAGGTTTCCCCTAGTATCGATCTTGTCCAACTGGTAACTGCCACTTTGCTCACCTTCGTCGCCGAGGTACTTGTCGAAAACCGCCATGCAGTCTTTGAACAGGCGCTCTTTCATTGAATCATCATCGTTCGTCTCCTCGAGATTCGTTAGCTCCCCTTCACTAGAGCTCGATGTATCTTCGTCGTAGTTCCGTTTGTATAAGACGCGCCGAAGGTCCCGTGTGCATTTGACAAAGTCTTTGTCTTCGCGATATGGTTGTTCAAAGTGATTAATTATCGACTCCTTGAATTCCACTGCATCCCCGAACCAAAGCAATTTAGCGTTTGCAACATCTGTGGTCGGCTTTTTTTCAATAACGATATTTACCAGAGGCTTATCTTGAAAGGCGATTTCATCGTTATAGTTCAGTGATGCGACCCAAAGCATAACGGCAAAGAACGACTCCATAT